CGAGCGATGAAGAAGAGAGCAAGGAAAGGTAGATGTGAGTCGTTTACGACAAAGTATATCCTCCTTGCAGGTCACAGTGATGTCTCCCTCTCTGTCGCAACACTCTCTATGTCTAGAATACTATGACTGCGTGAATGTAGTCAGTCTGTCGAAGTCGCAAAAGGTAGGACGACAAAAAAAGTAGGAAAGACGAAATCAGAGAATAAGAGTAATACAGAAGGGAAACAGTCAGCTGTGGGTGTGATGCTCTATAAAGGATAGCTCGTTTTATATGTACGATATAGTGCTGTGTGCTCTTCTGACCGTGAGGCTAGGGTTGACAGACGACCGTGATAGGCTCGTGAGCGGGGGGAGGTGGTGAAGCAATATACGAGATGGAATCGAGCATACGAACCCGTCGGTCCAGTCAGATGACGTTTTGGCACAAGTAGGGATTAAGTATAAGCGAAAATCCCGGATGGTATTGTTGTGAGTTTTGTCCGAGAAGCTTCGAGATGGACTTTAAACTGGACATCGATGACGGTCTTGGGATTCGGAGAACGAGTGGACAGAGCGAGCTTTGCTGCTTGATATCTAGGCATATATGTAAAATCCGTGACCTATAATACAATATTGTAACGCGCCGGTCCAGTCCGGGAGTCTGCTCTCTTCAGAACGAACGCCGATGCGGGTCCATCTTTCGCTCTCTACTGCCGATAGACTATTCACTGCAGTCGCAGACTTGATCCACTTCCTACTCATTCCCATCCCCTGACAGCGGCGCCATAAAGATGGGGCGTGGGAGAAGAAACGCAGACACATATCGCGCATACCATTCAACTCCGGCATATAACCCTCTTCTGCCCAATCCATCCAAGACCTCGGGGGATTTATAACCCTCCCCGAAGAACGTCGTAAGCGCCGGCCCGTATAAGAGAAGCCCCGGGGCATCTTCACACCTCGTATATGGACGATGTCACAAGCACTGGTGTCGCGGATTTATTACGACGCCATCCGATCCGACCAGATCCACCTTGGATGCAGTGGGCAGCCTCACAACGCCAAGGGTGATGAGGAATAAAAATGCAAGGTATCGGTGCCAATGTCGGTGTGTTGTGAGAGGAGGTCCAACCGCCCAACTTGTCGAGAATGGAAGTAAAAAAAAAGACGCGAGGATGAATGAGCAAGTATAAAATTATACAGGCCAGATCATCCCTCAGCAACCCATTAGCAACACTCTCAACATGTCCCAGCTCTCTTCACGTCTTGGTCTGTTGGACGTAAGAAAGTCCACACAACTCTTGTACTTGCAGAGTTGATAACAGAGTTGCTAAAACCCCCAAAGATCGATCGCTCACGCACCAACCTGCATAAATCGATCAAGAAGTACAGCTACTTCGTGGCTTCGTCCATCGTGCATGTCGAGCAAAACCTCCCGTGTTCGTGTTCCAGTTCCAGTTCCACCCCTGCTCTCGTGCCTGCTCGTGCCTGCTCGTGCCTTGCTCCTTCTCTCACCTTCGATGCATCAAACATCACGGAACCCAGCAACAAAATAAATTCCTTTTCCTCCTGCTTCCTGCAAGAAATACTTGCAGCAGACAGAAAATCACACCCTGCATCTACCCTCCAATATCCCACCCGCCCGTTAGTACCGACGCTAAAACATTCGTACCTTGAGGCCCTCCTTTTTTGTACCGAAAAAAAAAGAAAGAAACAAAAAAAAACAAGAGGCTGGTAATCTCGCAGACGCGCACAAACCACGCATGCGAGTTCTAGAGGAAGCAAGAAACTGGAAACAAGCCAAAAAACGCACACATAAAATAGAGGATAATCAATCTTTGTGTGGTTTCCGTCAAGTTTGAAACAACCCCGATGCCGTCAACCCCCCGAGGCCCCGGGGCCAGGTCAGGTCTCATTCCTCTTCGTATGCAGCCCCCGAACAGGGCGAAACCAAACAGACACGGGAGAAGAAAACAACGAGATAGAAGAGCACTGTACAGAAGCAAGCCTGCAAGTAGATTGCGGCGAAGGTCTCCCCCACCCTTCCTAACAGCCCAAGCTGTCCCAACCGTCACCTTCAACAGGGCTCCTGCTGTATCCCCGTCGAGCAGGCCATCGCCCCGTTTCAAAACACGGCCATGTGTCCCCCAAGGTTCACTTCACTGTCTGCAGCGTTGAAGACTTGGCGCACCTAGAGCTTCAAACAGCGCTTCAGGATGAGATACAAGGGAAAACGGGATAATGATGTGCTTTGGGGCGAACGAAGGACGATCTCTTTGTTTCTTCACGTCGTGCCTCGAGCTGGCCGCCTTGGTTCCCTTCTTACCAGCGCGATGACCCTTTCTGCCCTCGAACACCTTCTCGTTTCTTGCGCCTCCGGGGCATGGGCCTGGTGGATGATAGTCAACTATGCAAGATGTTGGCGGGCAGTGCTCTCTGAACCTTTATAGAAAGATAAATGCTGACCTGTCGCGCAATACCACGACGTCGATGTTTCCCCGAAGTATCAGGGCCTTTCTCTTCCAGTTACCTGTCCATTCTTATCTTCCGCGTGCCCTACTCCTAGACCGGGTTCTCATGGGATAGATGGAAATACGGAGTATCCCAAATTTGAAGAAGAATAAAAAGGATGTAATGCTTTAGGCAATACTCACAAACGGTACGTTGTCTCGATAATGGGAATCTCAGTCGTCGATCAGATCCGACAGAGGATTGAATCTTCATCGAGTCCATCGTGCTCGCAGGAATCTGCGTGAAGCCTTGGGGCATGCCTTTGGGATGGTGAGCTAGAGGTACCGAGGGCGCCGGCCTTCAGGATTCTAGGATGGTCTCTATATCGCCATTGACTATGGAAATGGTCCTCGAGTATATGAGATGCACTTTCTGGTTCCTCTCCTCGCTCTCTTTCCTAATACCAGTGAACCAAAAAAAAAGGGATGGACTGGATCTTGCCTAACTAAGATCCCCGTCACGTCGCTTTATCCTCAAGGGCTGCCCTGGTTCCGACCCCAGAGAGCCCGGAGTTCGGTCTCCCTTGGTAAAAGGCAAGACTGGGAATATGATAGATTAGGCGTTCCCTCGGGGGAAACTCCCAGCCGGGCCGGAAATTCCTCACGGCGTTCTTTCACGATGACCGAACGTCAGCGCTGCCAGCGGATGGGGACTTGTTGATGGGGTACTCACGAGACCGCTCAACCCGTAGACGATGTGAACTATGCTAGGTTACTTCGCCAGCTTAATGTTCATCGACATGGGTTAAATTAGGGGGGTGACACTACGTCTACCTTCGTCGAACATTTTAATACCATCTTGAACACTTGCGTTTCCTGCGTCACGACAGAACTATAGGAAGTTTCGCATAGGGCACAAGGGGGCCATCATGCACAATAGAACACCGAGGATTTAACACTTGCTCGTGTCTCCGTCCAAAGCTTCCTCCTGCCATTGCCGGCGTTGGGCTAGGCCACGAAGGGGCCTCGATGTCTGATCTTCCTGCTCACGACTTAACTACAGCGTCGTTGTTGAAACAGCCATCTTCAAAGGGACATCTCAAGCCGGCCAAGCCGCTAAGGTCAACTCCTTTCCAGAAGTTGAGGCATGTCATGGGTCAAATTCACTAGGATAGTCAATCACGGAGCACTGGAAAGAGCCAACCCACCCCTACCTCCCCCATACTTCGAAACTTGACGATATAACCCAAGTTTAAACCAGCCTCTAGTACATACGACCATAGCTCGCAGAATATTGAGGGTCCCGTCCGCTCCCCTGTACACAAGCTGCGAAGCGCCAGACTAGTAGTTGGGTCGGTGACGACCAGCGAATCCCTGGTGTTGTATGTTTTTTTGTTTCCTCTTCGTTTCTTTTTTGGTCTTTCTGGAACTGTTTGTTTCTCTGGTGAAGTGGTTTTCAACAGGTTGTGGAGAGTGATTTGGTGATTTGGGTCTTAAAGACAATGTCGATATGAATGTCCAACTAGCGCACCAACGAGTTTAATTGAGGTCTCCGTCCATCTGTGATTCAACCAGTTCTCTCTCCAGGCTTTTATCAAGGTAACCGACGGGCGGTCACACGTACCTATGACACACCCCGTCCGGCGAGAGAACTGCACCACAAGAGGTTCAGGGGTGGCTCGAACGACCTCGACGAAGCCTAACAAGAATCCCAGTGCAGTTCCTTGGACTCTGCTCGGTTTCTGGCTGCTCCTAGTGGACAAATAAGAGCTAAGATTGTTGCCATCGTGTATTGATCCTGTTGCCCTTTCCGTTTCCCCCAAAGGATACCCTCTGTCAGTGCTCCCCAACGTCACAGAGCCGGTCACCAAAAGCAAGGCCTTCATACCACCAAGGACAACTTAATACACTCTCAAACAGGATCACGAGTAAGAATACCAATTGATATAGCACAGAAAAGAAGTTGGGTATTAAAGGAGTGGAATAACCAACCCTTCTGCACCTAAGTTATACAACCCTCCGCCATCGTTCCCAAGCACTCAACCTCCAAAACCTCTTCAGTAATCCTATCATTCCTTCTTTTCCTTCCCTAGTACATGTACCCCTCATAATAACGTATATTACCCTTCACCATGTATGTCATCCCTTCCATTTTTATCGTATTTTGTTTAACCGCGAGCCACCCTTTCTAAGGATCATAACCCACGTCTTGCTCTGCAGTCCTTCAAGGACAAAAGGGAGCGATTTTTCTTTTTGAAAAAAAAAAAAAAAAAAGACGAAGACAAAGGAGAGATAAAGTCGCCGTATGGCAGTGTTTAGTGTTTACAAAGAGCAGAAAACAGGAGACATATGAGATTGAAAAAGTACTCGACTGGGTATGATGGGTATCAAGAATGGCCGTAATAGGACCAGAATCGCTCGCAACCGCAGGTAAAACTCTCAAACAGCAACGCTAATAAAGGCAAAAAAAGACGAAACGGATGAAAAGAGACGAAAAAACAAGACAAAGGAGATTGATTATGTCGCCCTGTCAAGGCTGTCCCCTGCAGCAGCTTAGGAGAGGAAGAGTGCTCAACCCTTCTTCTTACCATTATACTTCAGCTCGGCTCTCGTCACCTTCATTAGGAGGTCCTCATCCTTAACAGGAATCCATGATGTGAGGACTTTCATTGTGTTGTCGAAGTCTGAGTCGAGGATAATCTCGCTCAGAGCATCTATAAGGGCTGCGGCGGAGGCATGCAAAACATCCAGCCGCCCATCGTCCGACTTGGATAAACCCGCTGCCGAGGATGGCGAACCTTTGGCAAACGGGCCACCGAGTAGCAGAAAGACATCCCAAACTCTTAGTTGCGCAGGGAATGGGATCGATAGGTTGAAAAGCGTAAGGTACCAGCGAGTCCCGAATGCGGTGGTGTCAATACCCAAATCGTTCTAAGGAAGCTGTTAGCTATCTCGTGGACCAAGAATGCTGCTTCTTCTTCTTGTCCTTCCAACTTACGAGCTTCTTGGCAACGTCCTTTCCGGCCAGCCAGCGAGTCTCGAAATCCTTGAGACAAGCCAGCAGACCCTCGAAGCCAGGAGGACGGTACAACTCCTCCAGTCCACGCAGCTGCCACATGCGGACCATCATAACAAAAGCCTTCTCCTCGTCAAAATAGCAGAGAAGCGTCGCCGCCAGCGAGGCCATGCCCTGGACGTAGCCAATCTCGCTAAAGTAGAGCGCTACGGCGTGGAGGACCCTGAAGAGCAGTCGCTGGCCACCGCGGTATCGGCGACGGAACATGATGTGCTGGCTAATGGTCCGGGGAACATCCAAGTCGATCTGGCCATCGTACTCGCAAGACTCCTTCTGCAGTCGGTGAAACTCGGCAAGAAGATGCTCTTCGGTCGGCGCATCCTTGTCCGCCTTGGCGCTCGTCGCGAGGAACGAGTACCACGCGGCGCCTCGCCACCGATCGGGAATACCCTTCCACGTGCGGTCGATCAGTTTCGGATTCTTGGTATCGAACTCAAATTCCATGCCCTCGCCGTCTTTTCCTTTCTTAACCACTCTGGCCATCTTTCGCCACTTCTCCGCCCTCTCCCATTCCTTCTGCTTCAGTGCTTCGGAGAGCCGCTCTGCGCTCTCATCTTCGGTAATGTGAGTGATTCCTGGGGTGTGCGTGAGCATCTCGCCAGCCTCATCGGCCCACCGGCGGTCTCTATTGTGAGGGAGCAGATTTGCCGCCTGCCTAAAGGTGGATATCGATGAGCGCCTCGAGGCCACCGAGAATTCAGATGCTTGCGTGTGCAGAGATCTCGCGGAAACCTTTCTATTAGGTACGCGGGCGCTATTGAGCTCGGAAGGGTCCCGCTTCGTCAAGACATTTCTCCTCCTAGAAGTTGTTCGTCCGCGCCGGGAGGAACTGCCGGTCGGTGTGTTCAGACGATGAGATCGAATGAAGCCATATCGGTCGACATCAGCGCCGTCGACATCCTGCCAGTCTTCAGCACCGCCGGCAAGCTCATACTCGCGCCTGACTAAGTCGTGCGGCCGGGCTGAAGAGTCGGCGGATGTTGAAATACGATGAGTTTGTTGAGTTGACGGTCCTGCTTCGGCCACGCTGCTGGGGCTGCTGTCCACAGTAAATAAGAAACCCGAAGTTAGCCTTCTATGCAGACCACGATTGAAAATTCCGGGAAAACCAAGGAAACCATACGAGTCATGCACCTCCTTCTCAATGGGGTCTTCAGGGGTGGGTGCAAGGCGCTCTCCCGTCGAAGACGGAGGGGCTCCTAGCTCCCAGTTGAAGTCATCCCCAGCTTCATAGAGCGATCTCACCTTTACAGACTCCCGCTCTACATCTGCAGGGAGAACGCGAATGCGTGGCATGGCCTGTTGAGGCTGTTCCGCCGACTTGTTTGCAGCGGCGGCGTCCATCTTGGTCGATGTGGTCGCGTCGTTCATCTTGCTTTTGGCGGCTGAACTCGTCGTGGGATGGGGAGCGTCGCTGTCGGTTTCTGTAGTCGAGTTATCAGGCATATTTTCGCCAGAAATAGCGCGTTTTCCGCCGAACATTATGCTGCCCCTTTTCGAAAAGGTGACATTGGTCATGAAATCATCATCAAGGAGGCTGTCGGTTGGAATGGAGATGGAAATAGGTGCGAAGTTGGTGTCGGGAGTGCGTGAGCTGTGATTGGTGGCGGGGCGTTTCGGGGATGGTGGTGGTGGTGGTCCGTGTGGCGCTTGGGCATCGTCGTGATTATTATTATTAGCTGCCGAATCTAGTGAGGATTGTCCGAAATTTGGCCCTTTTTGCCCAATGCGACTAACAACACTGTCGCTGCTTGCATTCCGCCTACTTGAGGGTCGTTTCGACAAGGAAAACATGGTAGAAATGGGACTTGTAGGTCTGGTCGTCGTATTGATATCGTTGCTGCTCTCACTGCCCCTAGGCATCTCCGTTATGCTCTTCTTTTTCAAACGATTCGATGCACCGACGCGGAAACTAAAACTCCTAACAAGCCTCCGCTGTGGTGTCGTCGTCGTCGTCGTCGTCGTCGTCGGGCTAGTTAACTTGGGAGAATCGAGGGAATTCTGCAAGGGGTCTTGGGGCAGAAGAGTTCGCGAGGAAAAGGGGGCCGGAGCTGCAGCAGGGTGAAGAGGCTCCGGTTGCGTGCTTTTATTGTTGGGATTGTTGGTGTCACACGAAAAGCGCTGGGCGTCTGCGAGGAGCTGTTCAATGGTCCTGGCAGAATCATCACCGAACACGACGAGCGACTCAGCGAGATCGGGCTGTTCCACAACTGCAGGTAGCACAGAAGATTGGTGAGCAGATTCTAATCCCTCCTTTTCGTACAAGACCGGGGTGTCAATCTCCTCTTCGTAGATGGTTGTGGCCGAGGACGCGGTGCTTGAGCCAGAATCCCTCTTCCACTCTTCGCCGCTTTTGGTCGAGGAAAAATCACTTCTTAAAGCTGGATGCTCCTCAGCGGGAGGCATGGGAGGTGAATGGCCGCCTATCAGAAATGGGGTTGCAGGATTCGACGAGGTCGTACGCGTCGAGATTGAGGGTGACCGCGAGGGCGGGTTTCGGGGGGCGGGTATGGGAATGGGAGGCTCTGCCTGAACGGTCTGCTCATATCTAAACGCGACAAGGCTGGTATCGTCCCTAAACGGGATCAAAGACGATGTCCGGCGTTTTGATGAGCGGAGGCTGGAAAATTTGGGGGCCGACATGGCAAGTGCGGATGGGGGCATCGGGCTGATAATTTGTCCCTTCGAAGCCGGGGTGCCGGCTGAGCAGCGCGATTCTATTCGGAAAAGCTGTCTTCGGTGGTTATCGGCGATTGGCAGTCGGTCTGGTCGGTGAGCTTTGGTCGGGCTGCTTCGCCCGGCTTGGTGTGGATTTTCCTCAATGCAACGGTGGAGCTGGACCCTTGACGCTTGGGCAGACAGGGTATGATGGGGGAGCTGTTTGGTTGCTGGTTCAAGTTTTGAACATTAGAAAACAAAAGAATTCAAGCTTCGCAGTATTCAAGAGAGAGAGACATTTGGCGAAGGATAATAAAAGGGGCTAGACGACATTAATCGGGTCGGAAGGCACGAGCGAGGAGATACCAAAACAAATACACAATGTGGAAAGAGGTTTGTTTGGGTTGGGCGCGGTTGGGAAGGAACGAATTACACGACTCCCAACTCCAATCATGTGTAAGTGGAGTGGGGGAAGTCGACAGTGAAAAGGCGGAAGGGAAGGCTCGACCAACAATAGAAAGTAACAATGAAGATGTGAACAAACCAGCAGCCAGAAGCAGAAGGAAATGAGAAGGGTGAGGGAAAAGAAAAATTAAAGAGGGTAAAACTCACCAGATATGAGGCGGTCAGAAAAGTGAATCCGTCTAGGTCGAGCTCTGCTGACGAAGGCCAAGGTAATATCGACCGCACAATGCTTGGATATGGTCGGGCAACGAGGGCAAGCTTAGAGGACGGAGTGCTGATGAAGCTGAGCTATTCCCACCGGAGTGTGTCTGGGGTAAATGGAGATTGGACTCAAAAGAAGTGCAGAGAGATCCGAGAATATTGGATCTTAAGAGCGGGAATGTCTGAAAGTAATAAGACGGGGAGAGACGGGGAAGCGGACGAGGCCGAATGAAGAAGATGGATGAGGAAGAGCGAGACAGATAAACAAGGCCAATATTGGTACGACTCTAAGGTCTTGGACCAGGAGAGAAGAAAAAAAAAAGCTCAAAGGGAAGAGACAGGCCTTTGAAGAAATAAGAGGGGCAGAAACAAAAGAGGTAAAGAGAAAATTGAGAAAATTGAGAGAATAAAGAACAAACGCGAGACAGGGCCAGGAGATGGACCAGTCGTGTTGTCGTCTGCGTTTGGTCTGATGTGGTCCAATTCGAGCTTTGTTGGTGGGCGTTGGGTTGAATTGGAGCAAGGGGACGTCGACGTGTCGACGCTTCTGTCGTTTGTCCCGTTTTTGCCTCCGCAGTTTGGGACCTGTGATTTAATTACTTGCAGGAAATAGGCCCAGCAAGTCGGGGAAAGGGTCCAACTAATGAGAACGAGGGCAGAATGTTGCTACCAGAGCAGCAAGGCCAAGCGAGTCTGGGAGGAATCGAATAACATCGATTTGATCGAATTCAACCTCCAAGGACCTTGTGGAGGACGGGTTGATTAAATTGTGGGGGGATGGAATTTCATATACTCCTTCTGCCTACTCGGGGCGGCCTGTGATTACTTGTTCGTGCTTCTTTTTCAGTGTGATGTGAATATATATTGTTTCCCTTTTTTTTTCGTTTCTTTTTTCACCTGTTTTCTTTTCTCAGTTTCCCATTACTTTTTAGCCCTCAACTTGAACCTCTAAGCATGTAACATATTTATTGTAGTGCGGAAAGAGTTCTTCTGACTTGGTCCTCCGATGTTAGCTGGGTCCCGTCTTGCTTTTTGCACCACACAAACACAGACACATCGTTGGTCTTGCGGCATCCCAGTTTCCCAATGCAACACCGGCTCGGTACTTCGTACATAGAGTACAAGTGACTACATGTCGACTTCCATGGACTTTTGGTACATGCAATTGTGGATTCTGTTGGTGCGTCCCCACTTCTTCACCTCTCCTTTGGTTGTACCATCTTGTACTCTGCAAAATGTAAACCGTAGGTAAAGTGCTTGCTTCCTTCAGCAGATAACCAACGGAAAAAGCAAACTTGAACAATCACTATCGTAGTCACTCGAGCAGGCGCACCATGCCTAGCCTAGATACTGATGTGTGCTTCAGAAACGCTTGACCACCGACGGTGTGACTTACAAAGTATACTGGGCCAAGGGTAAAGGCTCATCTCCAGAGAAGGCGCGCATTTTTTTGCTCCGCCAAAATAATTTCCTCGGCTATCAACTGGAATCCTTTTCTCGTGCCATTTCCCTAATGCGGAAACATACCTGGTTTGAACAGGAGGGAATGCGGAGAAGACCTAGTGTAATCCTGCACGCACTCAAAATGGACGGAGGAATCAGCGGCGGAGAATAAAATTTTCATCAATCTATCTACACTATCCATCCCCCCCTCCGAGGCAAACTTGTTGGTATTCGGCGGGGAGCCGTGCGGAATGGTGTCTCCAGTTCTGACCCAGTCGTTGTTCGAGGATTGACGAGCGACGATAACTTAGGGGTCTGTGATCCCTGGTTCCAGGGACTCATGTGACGATTCTTCCAGAGTACTACCAAGCGGTGGGACTCACTCAATTCATCAATTCAATGCTGGTAACGGGTTCCGGCCCCAATTCAGTCCCATCATGTGGTATCATCAAGGTCTGGTCTCCACTGTATTCGCGGTGAGCAGTTCCAAGGGCAAAGGAGAAGAAGAAAAAAAATTAGATATGACCAGGCAAGCTGACTAGGTGTGGTTTACACCGTTATGCAGAACGGATGATCTCGCATACTGCTAGAGAAGCGGTAATTTGCCCAGTGATCCGTGTACGCTGCTCTGAGCGATTTTGCAGGAATTTGTTTGTGTGTACCGAGGTAGATCATTCTACAAATTCTACGCATAATTTAAGCAATTGCAAACGGGTCTGATGTAAACGCTCACATCTCGGGCCATTTCATGGGGCAATCGTAGGGCAATCGGAGGGCAATCGACAAGAATCAGGTTGCTCTCGTCATTGCGTTGTTTCCAAGGAAGACATGGTGATACCAATAGTACATGTTTCGGAGTGACGATAGTTAGGAGAAGGAGAAGAGAGACACTCAGAAAAAGGCCAAGAAAAAAAAAAAAAAAAAAAAAAAAAAAAAAAGAAAAGAAAAGAAAAAGAAAAAGACAGAAACGCAGTTTAACGGAATGTAGCCCCATCAGGCGAGTACCTGCTACGGTAGACAAAACAGGGAACAGGGTGTCGACATGGAGCCGGAGGAATGATGCGCGAAAGAAAACCAAGCATGGTCCCTGAGAAGAAAAAAACACTACTCCTTCGTTCTTTTGACACTTCGTGGGAGGCTGCCACGGCAAAAATCTGAGCTGTCGTCGTCGATTACCCCTGACAGATGCTGCAAGCCACAAACTCCCAAGTTCGTCCGATTTCTCTTCCTAGTACCTCTGTATGCCTTGTGAAGGATGATTTCAACGTTCCGGTTCCGGTATGTGGTGAACCTGTCAACCTGACTAGCCACGTATGGATGCTCGCCCATCACGACAAACTCGGATTCAGACTGGGGAATTAAGTGGGGATTTCGCACTTTAGATCCCTGTTCGCTGGCAACACTAACAGTTTTCTATGCCTCGTGAAGTGACTCAAGTCGGAAGAGCCACTCAAGCGGGCGAAAGGCGAACCTGACCGATCTTCACGGTACAAGTCTGGAGGTGACCGGGCTAGCAGACACGCGACGAGGCACGAGAAGTAACCCCCCAGACGCGGCTCTGTTCAATGGTGTCGCCACCCCGGGGCTTTTCCTCGTTGCATATCCGCTGCATGGGAAATAATATAACAATCGTCTTGCCATTAATTGATATCTCACCTGAAGGACCATGGCACAGACGGCGGACGAAGCGAGTACGGTGCAGCGACCCTATAAAGCTGGGACTCTCTAAATTGAGTTGATAATGCTCCAGATTAAGGGTGCCAGTCCGGCCCGCCAATCCCCGGCCCCAGACGGCTTTACCGATCTATCGGGAGGGGCGGAAGGCTGATTGCTTTGGGAATAGCTTGAGCCGACAAAAATGGCGGGTTTTCACCGTGTTTCCTCCAAGTTCATGTACGAAGGTGAAGTATTAGTGTAGACATTCAAGTCCCTCCATCCTGCTTCTCACGCGGTGCAGAAGACAATGAGTACTTCGAGCATCCATGATGAATAAGTACAGTACTTTAAGCCTGCGTGCTCTCTGGGAAAGAGCGGAGGAGTATAAAGTACCTATACAAAGTGGTTCAACAACTGCGAAGTAGCCAGGCACTTGGTACTTCATTGATGTACCTCGCGAACTAGCCAAATTGTACACAGGTAAACGACTTCGCAAAAGTCGGCATAGCTTCCGGTTTACACTACAGAACATTCCGGAGCTGGAGGTCGCATACGCCCGCTCACTGGCTGCAGCGGATGTCCATCACCATCAGAGCAAAAGTGATGCTCTTCAGCTGGATGCAAGCAACCCGAGGAAAAAAGACGGGCAGAATCACGTTAAATTCATGCCCTCCATATTATTAGCAGACACACTGAGCACGAGGGGTTCTGCAACCAATAACGAACCTCACAGGAGCTGATTCTGGTATCTTTTCCGGGTCGATGCAATTTGATGCCATTGATCAATTGACCATCACATTTAATCAGAGACCGTTCCACAGAATCCATGTGATTCTGCTGCCATGCTCTGCGTCCCTTGCAGTCGATCCCGCCTCCTTCTTGAGCCCACCGCTCCTAACGCTCTCAACGCAAACGCCCTCCGAAGACCCTTGCATCAACGTCCAGATTGACGTGGCCATTTAGCCAAGTCACCCGACAAGGGGGGAACCGAACTTGGACCCCTGCCTTTTCTGACTTTCTTTTCTTTTTCTCTTCTCTTTTCTTCTCTCATCTCTGTCGGACCCGACGAACAAACGAGAGAGGAAAAAAAAATCGAGGGTTCAACAGGGATCACGATCGTTGGATCGGGACCCTTGTCTGATGCACCTGCCACTGACCGGCACACGATGGACGTTGTAGTCCGATGAAAAATTGGATTGCTTTTTTTTTAATCTCTCTTTTGCTTCGTAGTCCGTCATACCATCCTTTACTTCGTTTTTCGTAGATTTCTTTCCTGCGAAGTGCGTTGTTCATGTGCTCGACTTCTCCTCGAGGCTGTCGCCCATTTTCCCATATTCAGGAAAACCATACTCGGTTACGCCAGTGAACCTCGGGCAAGCCATCTCAAGGATTGATGCTAGGGTCTCCATTGCCTCTTCTGTCTCCGCTTCCCTGTTCCTTGCTCCTGTGGGGATCGTCCAAATTTGGATTGTCACTCTCCGTGTTCTGTCAATTTTCCATCATCCCATCTCGAAGGTCCCTAGCCTTTCTCAGTCCCTTGAACCCTGTTCGGAGGGCTGAAGTTATTCAAGAAAAAAGCAAAGTGATCGCTGTAGCCCACAGCCCGGACCCCGAATAGTAACAGCAAATGTCGACTGGGGTGGGCATCCATCGGGATCGGACGTTGTTCTATCAAAGTGCGTGCATGCAATCTTAGCTGTCTTCCGTTATTTTTTTTTTTCCCCTCTGGTCCTTGCGTTGTCGCCTATCTTCGACCTTTTCCCTTGGTATCTACGATTCCCTCCGGCGTCTCTCCTCCAGACGACACTGATACTGTCCGCCTGCTGCGTGTCTCTCATCTAAACACCACCATTGTCAGAACCATTGTCAGGGCCAGGAGACCAACCAAGACGCTTCGGAGTTCATCACGGGGACCATTTCTCCTACAGCTCGTTTTGATCTTGATCTTGCGTAGTTCCAAAACACTCCGGAAACAATCTATTTGCTCCCCCAAGTCGCAGATTGTCTCAATCTCATTCCCCCCATCCCACGCTTAATTACTTTTACTGTCCGTCTTCCGTTCCCAACGAACCAGTGGAGTAGCTGGCTATAAAGATCAATAGCGTCATAGTGCTCCCCGAACCCTTCTTCCGTGTTCAATAGCAGGTGTTTGTGACCAAATCTTTCCCCTCAGATGCCTTCCCCGTACATACCAGAAAACGCCCCATTTCCCCCCTCGGAGAGCAAGACATTCCGATACAGTCCCCGTGCTCTCTGCCAAGGGCAGGGCAAAACTCCCGCTCATCTCCGAAGAGTTTCGGTCTATCACAAAGTATTGAAAGAAAAACGAAAAAGCTTCACACGTGCAACCGAAAAGAAAAAAATGTGCCACGGGTGGTCCTCCCCCGTCCTTTCCATCCACGTAGCCCTTCGTCGGGCTCTGCCCTCGAAATCAGGCTCCACTATCCCGCAAAACCGCCCAGGTTCTCTTCCGACTTACACCAAACATTGAAGCCTTCACGGTCGGACTCAGATCCTTTTCACAATCCCTGCCACGAGAAGAAGAAAGAAAAAAGCCCTCCAGACCTTAAAATCCCTCAGAAAAATACCATCACTCTACCAAACGAACAAACCACCCCATCTCAACATTGCCCTCCATTCCTCCTCGTTTTCCCCTGGCATGCCACATATCTGCCCTACGCTACCCCTCGTCCCTTGCAGCTTGCAGCCAGCTTGCAGCCCCATCCGCGACATCCTACTGGAACCAGCTAAGCACCGACTTCACTAACATCTTTCCTCCGCATCACACGTGTTCTTCCTCGCATTTGTGTTCCCCACGGCTAGCCGAAGATGGAGAGAGGGAGAGAAAGAGAGACGGAGAAAATAATAATCTCTTTTTCCGTTCCATTCTTGGACCAGTAGAATCCTTTTCCCTTTTTCGAACGGGCTCTGGGGAATATTTTCCAAAAAGGGTAGTAGTAGAAGAAAAATCCCTCGAGATTAGGCATCTATGATAGGGCGACGAGAAGTTCGTGCCTGAAGAGAAATCGGATGAAGGAATGTTACAACGCATTAGAAAGAAGCTAAGAAAACCCCAATGGTAGAAAATCGAAAAGAAGAAGGAAAAAAAAAAATAATCTAATGGCTCAAAGACAAACGACCCTCTTCCGCCTGCAAATCCGAAAATTGTTTGTTAGAATGCAACATTATAGTAATATTCTCTGATGTTTTCGTCTCGAATCCCCGTGATTCCTTCGTTGTTCGACCAGTTGGCCTCGGGCTAGACATGGGGGAGCATCTCGCTTCTTTTTTTCTCCTCCGTGTTGGGTATTCTTTCCTATTTCTTGCGCTTGCCGACTGATCGACTGTCTCCCCAGGGTCGCATTTCTATCGTGGCTCCTCTCTCGTCCAAGAGTTCTCGTTCGGGTCGACGCATCTCACTTAAGCCGTATCCGAGGCCAGCCCGTCGTAAAAAAGTGGGAAAAAAACAAGAAAGAAAGGAGAAAGGGAAGAAAAGTAGTGGGTAAACGTGACAAGTTCAGACAATCGTTTTTTCCTCTCCCTCTAACCACCCCCGGATTTTCTTCCCAGCCTCAGACTCTATCCATTCTATCTACAGCTCTTCATTCTCCCAATCCTTCTCCTCAAACATAGGTCCCTTCCGCGCCCCGCTCACCTCCAATTTGGCAAGAAACTCGGGAGGCACCGTAGGAATGTACTTCCTCTCCCTCTCGCGGTTCATCCCGCCGAACCCGGCCCCGTAGCTCACGAGCATATCCGTCACCGATGGCAGCGTGAACGGCAGCATGAGCGCCGGGTCGAGGAGTAGATGCTCCTGCGGTTCGTCGTCGCTATCTTCGTCGCCTCCTGCTGGGTAGTTATTGTCGTTATTATCTTGTGTTGTTTCGCCTGCTTGTTGTTGTAGTTCTAGTTGTTGTTGCCCGTTTGAGGGCTTGGTCGGCGTCGCCGGAGCGCTCCGGCTTCTCCTCTTCTCGCGCTGTAACGCCTGCTCCTTCTGTATAGCCTCAAGGTACTGTATCGCGCTCTTAGGGAGGCCCTTCTCACCAACTTCAGGCCTGTAGTGCTTCGCCGCGTGAAGAAGCTGTTGCGGCGTCAACCGCCTAAGCTGCTGCAATGTCCCCACGAGCGCCTCGAGGTCATCTGCGCCGAGCGACGAGAAGCACTGCAGCCACTGCAAGAGTTGGATCACCGGCTCAAGGTGCCTCCTCGACGCCTCCATCGTGGTCTCGCCTGAGGCCTTAATGTCGCCGCCCTCGTAGTGCTCGGGCTGCCTATTGTTGACGCGTGCCCAGTCCTCCAGGATGGAGATGTTCATGCGGATCTGCATGGCTTTCGTCCGCGCCAGGTACTTCCTGTTGGACATGATGCGGTTGAAGAGCTCAGCGCCGAGCCAGTACACGAGCTGCGAGATGATCTGCGCTGTGATGACCGAGTGGATGTCGTACAGGTCAAGGACGAAGAGCGTGGACGAGAGGAGGGAGGTGACGTTGCGCGGCGCCGGCTTCGCTCGCTGTTTGGGCGAGGGAGGTCGGAACCGCCTTTCTATCGGCTCCTCTTTCACTTGGGTCTTTCGCTTGAAGATCTTCCATTCGTTTTGGAACGTGATGTCTTCGAACCCGGGAATAGTCTCGTGGTCGAGCATGGCGGCGTCGAGGACCTTGTCCATACGCCTCTCGGCATCGCGAACAATGAGGATAAAGATCTCATTGATCAGCTCCGCGAGTTGGGCCTGGAACTCCACCGTGGCTTCGACGAGGCCTACATCTTTCTTCAGGTAGTGTAGTAGGAGCGTGGCGTTCGACATCCAAAAAGCGAGTATCGTCATGTCCCATTGATATCTCTCTACTACGTCGTTGATCTTGTCCATGGCCGTGATTAGCAAGCTCGCTAGAAGTTCTGGGCTTGCATGATAGTGTGCATATCTCGCAGAAAGAAAGATCATGTTGGCGGGTACCGGCTTTTGCGATGGTGACCGCTGAGGCGTCATTTTCGTAATAACGATATCCAAGATGGCGTCTAGCTCGGACTCCTGGAAAACAAACATCTGGTCGTGGTTGCATCGTGTCCAATCGAATTCTTGTTGATCCTCTTCGAACTCGTCGATAGGCTGTTTTAATGTTTTAGTTAGGCACCTCGTAGTGAGGGTTGGCGGCGGACGAAGTGTAACACCTTACCTCAGGCTGGTCATCTATTCCAACATTTCCGAGATCCACCTCCAGATCACGAGCACTATCCATCATTAACCGTGTCCGCATCTCTTGTGCTGCCATTTCCTCTTCGAATCGATCTTGAGAGAACCCCGGCCGATAAAAGTCGTCCGTCACGCCCGCCGTTCCGAGGCCGTAGCCACTATCATGGAGGTAGTACGACATGTCGCTATCGGGAGGCACAAAGTCGAAGGCTGTCCGTCCGGTCGATGTCTTCTGCTCTGCAGATGCTCCGTGATCGAGAAGAAGCTTCGCTATGCCTTTGTGGCGATTCGTCATGGCCCACATCAGTGCCGTCCACTGATTCCGATCTTGCTTGTCGACGTCGGCGCCGGCATCTACTAACGCTTGAACGACACTCTCGTGACCCTGCCAAGGAAGGAGATTAGTTAGGCCGCGATGCGCTTATCAGGCGAAGGGCATTAAAAGGGGGTTGAGAGTGGGGGGACTTTTGACTTACAAAGCAGCTGGCATAAATCAGAGCCGGTGTTCCATCTTCGTCAGGTGCATTTACGTCTACAAAGGCTCTCGCCTTCCCATTAAGGATTTTCTGGATTCGGTCGATGTCCCCATTGCTGGCAGCCATATTCAAGGATTTTTGAAGCATTTCTCGCTTCCTCTCTGCGGGGATCTTCTCATCGGATGCAAGGGTATCTTCGTCTCCATAGCCGGGGTCGGCGGAATGGGCAGCTTGCGCAGCGAGCATCTCCATTAATCTCGCCTCGTTGCTCATAGGGCTGCGTAACTCGTCATCGGGGTAGGTCCTATCGTTGAGCGAAAGGTCCCCAAAGTCTAGTGGTTTCGCCAACATGGGGGACGTGAGGAATTGTGACTGTCCTAAATTCCATGATTTATGTCAGCTCTCCGCCCGTTTTCGTCATTTTTCCAAAATCACTCTCCCTCTCGTCCTCCGAGATCTTCCCCGTGCTGAGAAGTGGGGAGCCTCATCTCGATCTGGATCGTCTCCAAGGTTCGAGTCGCGACGCACCTTTCCACCCATCGTACATTTCCGTCTCGGGCAGTAGTATTGTAGACACCACCCTCCGGTCGTCTAGCGATTTGGGCAAGTCATCGGGGAGGGTTATGTTCTTCTTCCCTCCGCCATCGCCGCCGTCGGAAGCAGCACCCAGATCCATGGTGGAATGAGGGGCAGGGGGATTCGCTGGGCTGTTCCCCCCCTAAATCATTAGGCTTTGTGGTAGGTGGTTGCGAGGTGCCAACTTGGCAAATAAATATACAACGGTTAGCTGTGTCGCCTCGCCAGTGTCTTTGCGCTACGTCGGCGACGATATGGCTATTGTTCGGATGGGATGTTCGTCGCTGGTTGTTGGGAGTGGTCGCGTGGGGTTGTCGTCAGGTCGGGAGTGTCGTAGTGTCGGGTGTCGAGGTGTCGTGGGAAGTGTTCTATAATATTACGTATGTTCTGGGGACCGCGAACAGAGCGATTAATCGAGCGGAAGCCGAATCGATCGATTGATTTAATTGATCATTTTGTTAGCCACAAGGGGTTTGTGGCTTGGGTCGGCCTCAAACAGATCCGCCCCCCACAGAATGCAACTGAAACTCCCAAATTTGGTGGGACTCTCCTCCAAACAGTGGGAAGCAGGCGGCCTAAACTAGCACGGTGAAAGTGAGACTTAGCCACATTCACCCCGCACCCACACAGTAATATCAAGATTGATGGACACTCGAGAATCAATTTGATCCTTTCCGATTCAACAAATAGAGCCCATCCTTCACGGCATCTCATATGGAGGCATTTCGTCTCACCATTCTCGCTCGACACGATGAGCCTTATTATATAATAGATGGCTAGCTCATACAGGTCTCGATACTATCACGGCTTAATCTCTCTCCTGCCCAACACTCTCAGTCTCTTCACCCCACCATCGGGGATGATGACGAGCTTTACATGCGTGACAGCTCCCGTGGCATCGCCCTGTTTGCACTCGAATTCATGCTCCTTATCAGGACCGCACTTTGAATCCTGAAGAATCGTCTTCCATTCCTCCTCCGGGCCCGGTTCCGATTCGCCCTCCCAGCTAATGACCTCAATCCTGACCGCCTGGGGGAAGTTGCCCCTAAAGTGCGCCGTATCAACAATCACCTTTTGCACGAATCCCGGGGCTCCAAGCCTCACAATAACCCAATCCGTATGGCCCTTTGTCCTTGACCGTGCCGTTTCCCACCCATCACCCATATCCTTCCCTCGCCCCGGTAGCAGCAAGTTATCCTTCTTGCTGAAATGCTGATCACTGCATGAGACGGCAACGGCTCCGTTCTGAGCCGCCGCAAGATCGATAATGGCGTTTTCATCCTCGGGAAACACGGGGATGGCGTGGCCGTAGAGATGAAACCTGGCAATACCGCCGTCCGGATACATGTTCAGCCTCACGTGCGTGTACTGCTTCTCTGTAGGCTTGTTCAGCTTCCACGCGAACCTTTCCGAGGGCCCGCATGTTTGAAGCCCGAGGATGGTTTCCCACTTTCCTTTGCTGCCTTTCCAGGAGATGACTTCCTCGTCATCCTGGCTGAAACAGCCCTCGACCGAAATGGCGGGGGCGTGGTTACCGGAGAAGTAAGTCGTGTCTACCTCAACACCCTCTACGGTTCCGGAGGCAACGCCGAGCTGGATAACAACCCAGTCGAATTCCTCGGGGTTGTGACGCCTGGTTTCCCACCCGTCGTACCAGGCTCCGGTGTAGACCATCTTGCCAGGTTGCCTGATTGGCGGCGTAGGAGTTAGGAGATTGGTAGCTTCGGCGAACCATTGATCGGAATAGGCGAGGACTTTTCCACCGATTGCAGTTGATATCATGTCTAATCGTAGGATAAGGATCATGTATTAGTGAATTCGGGTGTCGGTGCGGAGTCTGGGGCTCTTCGTGAAGGTGTCGCGTGACTACTAACCAATACAGTGGGAGCGGAACGTCTTGTCGATATCCCCTGGGGCGATTCGGTTGGCATCGACATTGTCCAGTGGGTAAGAAATATCATCAAGTACGGACATATTGGGCTTAGATTCACAAGCAGGTGCGGATGGCTATATGGAAGGGGACGAGGATGGATTGGACGTGGCACTACTTCGTAGTATGAGAGAGAGAGTTACCTAGGAAGTAAGAAAAACGTGAGGCAAAGACGGGCACCGATGTCCGGAGTACACGCATCTCGAATATATGTGTCTAGTGGGGACTCGCTTTGACCATAGCCATGGCCAACGCCGATAAACCCATCGGCCGATCCCGATGGTACCCTTTGTGGCCGAAAGAAGTTTGATGATAACGACTTGCGCTTGAGAGCTCGGCCGGTGCTAGTCCGATTGGAACCATCAGCGGCTTTGCGATAGGACATGGGCGATTTTGATTTGTAGGCGTCTATTAGCTAATAGGACAGCCGGCACCAACCGGAGCTGTAGCCGGTAGCCATGACCGGCAACGGTCTAGGCCTTCATTGTTCTCTCGAGTTTCAATGCAATGCACACACGCACACCGCTTGCTCCACGGGTGCTGCTGGTCGTACTTAAGATACTTGAAATCACGTCGTGGGTTAAGAGAAATACAGGTGCAACATGCATGGCTTGTAAAGAGAGAACCCCAGGTGCCAGTGAAAACTGAAGTAATGAAGCTTGAGAAAATCACATTGTCACAGCACGGCGGGAGACTAGAGATGGTCGCCATCTCTTGCGACTTCCCAACTCCCGTTTATCTGAGTTCCCGAGTCAGTAGCGAGGCTGCATGTCCAGAGAGACGCCCCTGCTTAGGGTTTTAAAGGTTACTGAAACCATTTGAATAAAACGAAGAACCGCCCCCCGGACGGACTTTTGCGCGATTGGTGTTTCTCTCACAGGCAATTGATGAATTGTGTCACTCTGCCTCAACAACAGCTCCTGACCTGACATTGGTGCAACTGACGGACACAAACAAACTCAACAAGTTGATAATATCTTGATTGTGCAATTGTGTACTCTTGCCAATGCGTAACCAGAACGTAACACTGGCTGATTCAGCATGCCCAAGATAATTGATGACTTGCTCCAAGTCCTGAGGCACAACGTTTGAAATCAAATCAATTTGATCATTGATGTTCTGATAAACCAATGTACCTCCTCGCTCTGAACCCGGATGGACCACTAAAATGGCGCGAATTGTCAGCGCCAGCCCCCCTGCCGCCGTTTTTGGGCACCTTCCCCTTCTATATTACCCCACCATCCCGCCGAATTGCGTCAATCTGATCCGGATTTGCTTAAGCATATGCAGCTTTAGTGTAGCTTCCTCCGGGAACTCACAAGATGCCGAGAACAACTGACATCTCCGCCGACTCCATTTCCTCCACTTTCCACCTCGATCTATCATGCTACTTCTCCGGTGTTCATTTCCCTTCTAGCGAGATAATATCCAATCGTGATTTTCGGTGAAAGTATTTCGGGATCAAAAACGAAGCTCTCTCGATTGAGGACCCGGGCAACATCACCAAAGCTTGAGAATACGCCGGTCCGCGTTAGATTTGTTGTGGACTGAGTAAGCTCCCCGCAGCTCGTTTCTCGACTGTCCGCTCAACGCCTTTCGTCTCAAGTCCGTGAACTAATTTCGAAGGCCCCCCGCAAGGTATCGAGCTCGGCAGTAATCGACTCTAGTCCACGTGTCATAACAACTGCTGTTTTCTTTATAATAAGAGCTTGTGAAGCTCCCATCGCAACAATGGCGACCCCAAATGGCACAGAAGCAACCCAAAACCCAACCCAAGAGCCAAGCTCCCAAATACCGGAAATGGAGCCTTTACTCGGAGGTCCCAGAGCTGCTGGAGCATTGCAACGCGACGATTCCCCAATCTTTGCTAACCTCTACATCGGTATGACCGCTCTTCATTCTCAATTGCTGGTGCCTGGAAGCTAAACCGTGGGTCAGGGACGGCATTTCTTGCACAACTCGGTGCCGTCGTCCTCTTCACCGTAATCTGGGCCTTCATACTCCGTCGTCCCTGGATCGCTTTCTCCGGTCATCCTCTAGCCCAATCTCTGTTGCTGGTCACAGTGATCCAAGCCATCCTCATCTTACAGCCAACGCACACCCCCGATCAGAAACGCACCGGCGCGCGTATCCACGCCGCTCTCCATCTCATCTCCTTCCTCTCCCTCATCACCGGCATCACCGTCATCGAATACAACAAGCACGTCAACAAACTCCCGCACTTCCACTCCGCGCACGCCTACATTGGCGCCGTTACTGCAGTGTTGCTTCTCCTGCAGTACGCCGTGGGTTTCACCATGTGGGCGACGCCTTCGCTTTACGGCTCCGAGGAGCGTGCGAGGTCTATCTGGAAGTATCATCGGTGGAGCGGATATCTCTCGCTCGTGCTGCTTCTGGTGACGGTGGCGAGTGCTACTGGTGTTCCGTTCGTTGGGGAGGATATCGGGATTAAGTTCTGGTGGGTGTTTGGGTTGTCGGTCCTTATTCTGTTGGGGGTCATTCCTAGAGTTCACCTGTGGAAGTTGCTTGGACAGCGTCGCCGCTACTGAGTTTGAGAATGTTGGCTTTTGGAGTGTCGGGAGAGGGGGGTTGTAGCTTATTAGCGGTGCTGCCTTGGACACAAATCAGCGGTGAGACTGAAACGCTTATCTGACTCTCGTGTTGCGGTGATGAGAGCATGCAGGGAGTAAAAGTTGGGTTTACTCTGTGTTAATTTGGGAATTTCTTGAGAGTATTAATAGGAAAGAGTAACAGGGATTATAAGAATGAGACTTGGTTTAATGGTTGTCAGGAGGCGTTCCCGAGATATACGATAAGTATCGGACTTTCAGCATGAATATATATCTACGAATCTCAACCACTTAACGATGGAGCTGAAGACTGAGACACACTCGGTAGCTACACACCGCCGACCGCCGATCTCCATCCCGAAAGGAATTCCCGCTAGAGCTCAGCAAGTAGTTTTTTTACGTCTATCCCTAGGATAATATCCAAGGCAATTCGTATAATTAGCCACGACCGTGAACTTACCCTAGAAACAAGACCCAGGGTCTACCCTTAGAGCTGGCGGGGGATGCTCTAAACTTCCTGGCGAAAACGGGCTGGAGTAGGAGCTTTGGATGAGCGAAGGCCGAGGAATGCATCACGGTGCTTTCCGGTCGAAGCCTCGGCGCTGTTGAGACCAGGATACAAGACGCCCTCGCATTAATATGGAAGGACAAAATAGCGAAAGCCGCTCTTATTTCGCCCTTCGAGCTCAGGCAACTGCTTCTGAGGGTTGAAGCTGTGGACTGAGCTGTACCCTGAGCTCTGAACGGACTGGGAGAAGCTAAGAGTGGGCTCGACTAAAATATTCCCTTGATGTCCGCCCTCGGGTATTCGCATCATTCCCGCTCTCATCAAGCTTCTTCCAAAATAGTCCGCTAGACTTACTCTTCACACCTAGGACAATGCCGTAAATCTGTTTTTTCCAACCGGGACAGATTGGGTAAGGTTATATTACTGTTATGGGGGCGCCAGCTCTTCCAGTCGTTGCAACTCACCACCGGCAGAACTCACCGTCGCAGATGTACTCATCGTCACGGCTGGCTAGGGCAGTACTTAAAGGATTACAGTTCCCGCCGGAACATCTATGTATTGAGAGAATACTCATCATCCTTTCTAACCATGACTACTGACCATTGTTCCATACTATAACTACCGACAGCCGTCGGAACTGGTGATGATATTTCTAGCCACAACAGTACTTCCATTACTTATAGCATCCGTCGTAATATCTACACGACGCGAGCGTGTAAGTCTACTCAAAACAAGAATGTAATATCGCCTACGCGGGCTCATAAGGGCTAAGTTGCCATATCCTATAAGCACTACACTGTAGCTCGAGCGGATAGACTTAAAAAAAAAATAAAGAGAAGTTGAGAAAGGCTTTGCTTTCGAAAATGCGTAGATCTAGGACATAATGGGGCAATACTCAGCGATTACTCCGTAGCGCGTATGTCACAACTCGGCCTTGCCCGTGTGCCGTAGTTCCGTTGCAGCAGTGGTGGGGAGTCTAGCGGTAGGGGAAGTTGTCGAGGAATCAAGCTTCTTCGTGAAAGCCTCTTTGGGCTCAATACCACCTCGGGATTTCCGGGACTAGATTCGGGCTGCTAAAAGCGGATAAGGAGACGGAGCACGAGTATCAACTCCACCAAGCTAGGGATCTCTCACCATCGAAATGCTGGACTACTCCCGATCTGAAGAGCTTCCCTTTTAGCCACCGACGAACCATGAGATCCTATAAATCCACAGTAGTTGGATCCCATGTGCTAGTTGGCATATTTGACAATATCCTTGTCATTTTCTTTTCCATCGGTAATAGTCTAGAGAGGCGCAAAGGGAAAATATTCTAAAAGAAGAGGCGTGTGGACGAAAAGGCTCTCCGGACGTCCACTTGGCCTCGAAATATTCCGACAGCAATATGAATATTTTTTAGAGATTCCAAGCCGACGTCATGACGTATAGCATGTCGCACAATACTGGCCATCACAGGAGTGGGCAGTCGCCTTTTCACTTTCTCAGTGCAGCAAAGGAGGAGCCGATTAGGAGGAAAATATGGCCACGGTGATCGTAAACGATAAATGCAGCAAGAGAGGGTGTCTCGCCTTCTATGAAACACGTCTCGAGTTTGTAGAGTTTTCATAGCCTCGGAAACAAGGAAACAGGAAAAGCTTCATAAGAGACTTTCCCCTCGCTAGAAGGGTGGCTGAAGGCATCTAGGCTACTCCCTCCGCGTGCGAGATATGCGCCCTCCTCGACCTAAAGAGCCACACGCGCCCCTAGTCCTCAAGGTTTAACTTGTCGTTCCGCGATGGCGACGAGTTAACAGCCGCATGGGAGCCCGTGGAGATAACCTTTCAGGAGGTCTTTGCCACTAGAAAAGTCCAAGAAACGGGTCGACAGCCGGGCCCACTTCTTCTATCTTCTTCGTCGTGTTCTTTACTTTTTCCCCCTCATAATATATATGCATAGAAGTGACGAGAACGAGAATTAGCTCAGAGTGAGCCGGGCGGCTACTGGTGATATCACACCGCTTCGAAGTTTAGATGGGAAATATGTTGATCTCGAGCCCGGTTTGACGGGAAGGATGGACGAGACGGCCCTTTCCCTTGGAACAAGTGAAACAAGCCCCGATGAATCCCGGTTACGCAGGGTTACGACTTATTCGCTAGACCTATGTTCTACGGCGAAAACAAGTCTCGACGGTGTAGACATGTTAAATGCACGCACGCAGAGAGTAATACGACCAAGGCATTATCATCCTTGCATATCCTTACACCGACGTGTTGTCGTCCGTTCGTCATCCTCGGCAGATTAAGACGTAACCGAAAGAAACCAGCCTCCCAATTGCACCCTAGAGGACTTGAAGGAGAAATTTCTATGATTTCTATACGTGGCGTTCAGAGCGTGGGGATTTATAAGGCTTCGGCCATTAAACCCCTTGTTGATTATCACTCGAGGTTGGAGGCGTGGGGGTCGGGCTCTTTCAAATCCCGCTCGAAGCAACGTGCAGAGAGGTGCTTTTGAAGCCCGAAGTACGGTCACGTTCACAACGCCTGCACGATCTCGTTATTTTCCATCTGGTGGTGATGAGTTGTCCAGTTCGAAACTGGGTTGAGGTGCTTGGTTAGTTTAGTACGCAGAAGGCTTCTTAGGGAGTCAGGTGAGCAAACCGTCGTGGACAGATTCGGAATTGTTGAGGAGCGGACTCATTGCAAGCATGGGGTTGTTGAAAGGTGGTTCGTTTCCCAGAAACGCATCTGGTCACTGCTTTCCGGCCAGCGTTATAGGTTTATATCCTTATCCCTAAATGTTTCTCTTTTTCTTTCCTTTTTTTTCCCCGTTTATACGATACCCCAAAGTCCCATCGCCTGCGGGAAACAAGGAAGGTGTGGTGGGTATGCACGGAACAACCTGTGTGGAGGAATGGAAGGAACGGGGAGTGTTCCGAACTGGTCATCAGGCGGGTGCCAAACATAGATATGACGTCACTCCGAAGTTGACGCCACCATGCGTCGTCGTGGACTTCTCCAGGGCATTGCTCATTGGACATGGGTACCTCAGTACTTTACAAATACAAGTTAGAGTGTACAAAGTTGTGAGTACAAGTACATACGGCATGGCGTCGGGATATTTCCTATTGGGAAAGGCCAAAAAAAAAGCGAACATCCAGAAGCAATCTTTTTTTTTTCTCCATCGGGAGGCGAAAGAAACGAAAGGAATGAAAATTAGGGACGGAATCTTCAGGGTGAGGCAGTCAAATTCCATCGATTCGTGGGAAGCTATCTCGTGAGTACGAAAGGCTGCAAGTATCCCACCCCATGGGAGGGTCTTGTCCTGGAGTTCGGTTCCCCTTTTCACCCAGTTCCCCCAGGTCTTGCTGCCGTCTCTTGCATTGAAGCATGCATGGAGACCGACATTAATCTGAACACGGTTTTTTCGATTTGGGTCCGGCTTGTGGAGGGGAATTGTAAATTTGGAGTTCGGATCGCTCTCGTGATTGGTCAAGCTGGAGAGACACATTACCAGCGCCAGCGGATCGTTGCAGACCGACGAGGTGAAAATCAAGGACGGACCGCAGGACACAGCACAGCTGATGATGATATCGCAATAAAAGCCGCCCCAGCCCCAGTCCCCGATCCCAGCCCCATGTCATCAAATGCAGCTCTGGTCTTCGACTACCTTCGAATTGCTGTTCCACTGCGGTGTGCTGCACTGTGTGGTGCCTGTGGTATATTAGAGCAATCTCAATTTCTTGTCATTCAGTCCTCCAGATTATTTGTTTGAAGTCAGCCTCTATCCTTCGTAAGCTTCGTAGAGGGCTGGGTCTTGGTTCTTGTCCTCATCTCGTCTCATGGCAGGGAGAGGGGGTTTGTCATTAATGCCCATTAATCCATTAATCGTAACCCTGCATACAGTCCCCAAATTGCATCTTCTGGGAGATCCTCCGATTGGCATCCTTTAAACGGAGACGAGGCCGGATTTGAATCAAGGCAAAAACGACAAGAAAAAGGTTATCTTAACAGCGGCTGGCTGATCTTGGTAGTGAGACTCTTTTGTCTTGGTGGTACGACGGACAAAACGTTCTCGCCGTTCAACTCGCCACCCAGTCGGGGCCAACAGGATCCACTACCGCGTCAAAATGGGATGATTTCGAAGTGCTTTGCCTCTCTAGTGTTTTTACCTCAACGCGGATTGTAGCCTTCTCCCGTCTTCCCAGCTGATCCGGACAAGGTAGTCACGAGTGCCTATCCCGAGTTTGAGGCCATCAAACTGCCGAAGCATTCTAGTTTAGGTGTTATTAGTTCCTATTCTCCGTTGCACATCTTCTCACTACGCATACTTCATCATCGACCACTTCGTTGCGATTTGCACTCGAATGGCAACTAGTTTACCATTGCAACCATTTGAGAGATCAAGCTCTATAGTAATCCTATATTAGTAAATGGGCGGCGAGCGGCGACGATGGCGCTGTTGGGGGGGCGAACGACCACTACCCGGGTTTCGTCTAAGTCCAGGTCGACGTTGCCTCCATGTCGTCCGCCAATTTGAGGCAGCAAATATCAATGGCTCTTGTTGTTACTAGTCGCCGCCAGCAGCCTCTTTCGAGCCAGCCCCTTATCAACTTCTGATAGTGTCAAAGTTTCCAGGCACCCTCTGGAAAGCAGGGTCAGTGAAGGAACATTAAACCTTCCCCTCGCAATCCCCCGCTCTGCGCAATTCCTAAACGATCGAACGAATAATACCGTCGGAAGATACACTGTAGACGCCGGGCACTCGTCTGATCATTCTTTTTTCGGACGCCATCCGGAAGGATGAGTGAATGAGTCTATGGACAAGATTAATCCGTCGTAACACCAATCTCGATCCAACACGGTGGCTGTCCATGTTATTGGTACTGTCTGGGTACGTACCCGAATAGGCCTTGTAAATTCCGAAGTGGACAAGGAAGAGAAATGAGGTGCCAAGGTACAAGTACTGGAGACCTACAGTTTGGATATGAATTAACACTTGTCCTGCCTTGTGAAGAAACACGAAAACATGTGGGGCGTTGCCGTATAAGACCGAGAAATGCACTGTCTAGGCCCAAGTACCGAGTACGTTCCCCCGAAGTGGAGAATTGTGTTAGAAACTGCCTTGCAAATTTTCCTCTGGCTACGTCATAACCTGTTTTTCAGGGTCGGATGGTAACAGGTACTCAGGTACAAGCGGTAGCAAGGGACGGGCACGCTGTCATTGATGAACAAGGAAGGACGTGGACAAGCTAAACTCCAAGTCTCCAAACTCCCCTTCAATGTTCCCACCGCAACTTCTTCCACAGGTCCCACAGTGCAGTGCTCAGTGTTGTCGACTTCCCTGTCTTGTCTGATAGAGAGAAGAGAATCTGGATCATGCTGTGTTTGGAACTGGTCTGTCCAAGTTATTGATTGCTCTGCCCTGCCCTGCCCTGCTCTGATCTTCCTCATCTCACAGTTCTTGCTTCACACCCAGTGCTGTTTCTCGAAACACGACGCCTTCTCATTCCAACCCAGCAGCACTCCTTTCCCCCTACTAAGAGAACCCTGTGTATTCTGTGCATTCTACTATTCTTGGAAGTAGTGCCTTTGTCCGGGTTTGTTTCCTGTTCCCGTACCGTACTGGTACCTGCTGTTTTCCAACCTCTTCTCTCCTCGCCCTTGGAGATACCTTTCCCATCCCACTTCTTCGTCCATCCATCATCGCGACGCAATCGCATGCTCTTGCAATTTGCGACTTCTTCCTTCGACGCCACGCTTCGTCCCCCCACCACATCACCTCATAGACCGTCCTTGCTGACGTCTACCTCTTGCCTTTCACCTCCGGTTTGCAGTCTGCATATCTGTCTCTGGCGCCTGCTTCCTGGGACGGTTTAGCTGGTCTGCTCTCTCGAGGTCCAGCGGAGGTAGGTAATGGTAAGACCTCATTCCTCTTGCTTCGACGCAAACGGGAAAGAATCAACTGCCACTCTCCCTCGACGACGACAACAGCCTACCGAACCATCGTCATTGCCGTCTTCTTCCGATCCAAACGCGTCGATCCTGCTGTCACGAAATGGAGAATCCTACGGGGATATAAAGAATGGGACTTCTCGATGTAATATGCCGCTGTCGCAAACCTCACCAATCCTAGCGCCCATCCACGGTCTTCCCGCGTCGTCCCCCAATGCTCTGGATCTTCCTCCATCAGCCACCAGTTCGTCTAGAGACGGAAGCCGCCTGTCTTCCGAGAGCATAATAGATTCGACCTTAGACCTAGGCCCGTCCAATCTCCGAGATGACGTACCATCTTCGACGGTACCTGCGAAACTGCCTCTTAACATGCCGACCAATAGCGTAGACTCGCTTCAGGACCGATATTCCCGGGAGATGGCCGACGCTCCAAGCCCGCTAACTCAGTATAGGAAGCGCCTGGCGCGGGACTTGGAAATGAGGGAAAGGTCTGCGATAAACTCGATGGCCGGGGCGTCCGACAAGAAACGTGTGTCCCCGATTCAAGAAGAAACCGCCGAAACCCACATCGAAGAATTGGTGAATCCTAACCTGACGACGACCTCGACGGAGTCCGGTAATACAATCCGTGGCGGGGTCACTCCCGGTCTGACCGCGTCAACACCATCATATCCTTTCCCTCGCATGCAGTCCTTTTCCCGAAAATCTTCACACTCTACCAAGCCCTCATGGGCACCCGCCTCGTCCCAATCTCCTCTGAAACTGTCACATTTCAATTTTCCTTTCCTCGAACGTGACCTACCTAGCTTATCCGACGCGACCCCTTCGCCTTTCGTCTTCCATCCCGATGGTCCCTCGATGTCTCCGGAGGCCTCACGGGGCCATGCAGCCGAGTATCCTACCCCGAATCTTTTTGACCTATCGCTAATGCTCACGGCGGAGCCTGGACTTGATGCCTGGTGGGAGACTGTTGTCCACATCATGACACAGGTTTACAAGGCTGAGCGTGTAACCCTGTCTGTCCCTGCAGATACTACTGACATTGAGAATGTGCCATGGGGCCAACGGGCTACTTATAATGCACACCAAGAAGATGGCTTGAGTATGGGTTACATGGAGAGAAGTGCGGGCGGCGTCTCGGACACGCCCGACCCCGCCGACGTTGCGCCTGACCTACCCTCCCACCCCGACGAGGTTTCCGAAGCACCCCCACTGCGGCCAACTCTCTCCAGCCGCCATTCGTTCACGGCTTTTGAAGAATCTAAAGATCAGACTGGCATACAAGACCAACCCCCAAGGAGGCCGAGCGGATTAGCCCGAAGCAAGAGCTATATGCCGTCGGTGGTCTCGGCTAAGGAACCATCTCATCCCGCCCTGAGCAAGTCGGCCCTGCAACAACTTGCTGCCGCCGATGGGGATGATACACCAACCTGGGAGGCATCGCTAGGCCAGCGGAGGATGCCCAAGGCTCGGGTCTTGCCAGTTCTGCAGGCCCTCGACTATGAAGCGGATCCTCTGATCGATAATGCGAGTGTGACGAAAGTTCTCGGGCGAGGGAAGGTTATTGCCTTGACTCGAACATATCCCTACCTGCACCCTGATATTGCTGAGCCCCCCAATGTGCCCGTCTCGGCGCCAAATGAGAAGGATCCGGCGAAGAGAAGGCAGTCGGACTCATCAATTCGGCGAGCAGACGTCGGTGGTCCCTCTGCAGGTCAACAACCATCAAAGGTGACATCATCACGAGAGGGAGCTCGGTCAGGGAGATTAAAAGCCCGGTTTGAAGAGGAGCTCCACCGCCGGCCGGTATCACCAAAATATGAGGAATACGAACAGGCACCACAGTCCCCTTGGACCCAGTCACCTGCTCCGTCTCCCGCTGTCCGAGCAGATCCAAAGGAGAACCCATTTTTCGCAGATGCTGTTGTGGATGAAGATTCTTTTAATCCTGGAGTGGCATCCCCGGATTACTCGACAATATCACCGCCAGAAACAATTGGCATCGATAACTCCTCATCCGTACTACACATTCCGTTAAACCATGTCCTCCTATCTCGTCCTCACCAACCGTTCCCCTCCGACTCAAACGCGAATCCGAGGCCGGAGGTTTGGGCGTCAACCCTAGGCGGTGATGCGGCCCCTGGGAGCGAGTTTTCGCCCAGACGAACGACGCCGGTTGCCATCCTCTCAATCCTAAGCCCCGTAATACCCTATCCGTCCAATCTACGCCGTTCTTTAGGCCATTTATCCATGCATCTCGCGACGTCGTTTTCACTTTGCCAGCATTACTCTACTTTAGAGACGGAGCTTGCCGGCATGAAGAGGAGGAGGCCGCAGACACCCGGGTTTGGGGCAGTTACATCCGACGGACGGCCCATTACCATCCCTTCAAGCCTTGCTACCATGCTCCACTTGAGCCCGGAGGATCTTCAAACTCAGAGCTCCCATGCAGGAAGTATAACCAGCCTTAGTGACTATTCGGCCATTTCGCGGAGTGCAGTAGGCTCTCCGATGGTTACTCCAGGTGTGGTGGACCAGGCGAACTTGCCGGATAGGCCAGACAAGGGCCCTATGACAATGAGCCCGGTCCCCGAGACGGAGGATGACTACTTTCGTGCGCAGCATCCTCCAATCGTCCCTGGAGTAGAGCTGGCGTCTGCGAACGCGGGTCGCAGGGGCAAGACTGCAATTACGTCAAGGGAAACCGAGAAGCGGAGGCCTCGAGGATCCTCGACAACTAGCGCCCAAGGATCTGACTTATTAGAAACTAAGGTAGCCACAGATCGTCGACGCCGAAGTGGCGAGGACGCCGCCGCAGGCTCAACATCTATCTTATCAAGAGAACGTGGGGACTCCATTGCTTCTGATAGCAAACCGGCCGATGCGGTACTCGGGGCACCCGACTCGACGACATCCAAAGCCCAAGAGACAACGCCTCCCAAACACCGCCACACGAGGTTGCATTCTTACGGAGCCGACTTTGAAACCACGTTTCCTTCTCTTCTACCGAGTTCCACCATCACGTCGAAACCGCCGATGCCGTCCCGGACCGCTTCGATGGTGAGCGGTGTCTCCGCGAGCAACGCCGAAATGCCTCCGCCGTCGGATCGACTGAAAGGACTGATTCTTGATTCCCTTCCCGCCCATGTATTCGTTGCCCTTCCACAGACTGGGGAGGTCGTTTGGGTTAGCAGCCGGTACCTAACCTACCGCGGATTGTCTGTTGGAGATCTGATTGCCGATCCGTGGGGTAGTATCCACGAGGAGGACCGACATGACTATCTCAAGGCATGGAGCCATTGCTTACGCACTGGTGAACAGTTTTCCAGAGTTGTCCGTATCCGGAGGTTCGATGGGGCGTATCGTTGGTTTTACGCGAGAGCCGTTGCGTCTCGAGACAAGCGTGGCGTGATCCACCATTTCCTTGGATCATACATGGACATCCACGATCAGCGAATAGCCGAAATCAAGGCGGCGAGGCAAGAACAGCTCGCGGCATCGGAAGCCAAGCATAAGCTGCTGGCCAACCTTATTCCCCAGATCATCTTCACAGCCACGGACAATTCGGGTATCACCTCGGCGAACGAGCAGTGGATGTCTTATACAGGCCAAAGCTTTGAGGATTCTCTGGGCCTGGGATTTATGGAATATGTTCACCCTGAAGATCTCGCTAAATGCCATATTCCTTCCGAGTCGCAACCGAAATCCCCGCAGAAGAGCCCGGAGAAGAAGCTAAACATTCCTCAGGATCCAATAGCCTTCACTGGCAGCGCGACGGCCTTCTTGCGTCACATCTCGGGGCACGTCGATACCGGACTCAATCCCGACGACATCACCAACTTGCATCTGAATGGCCGCATCGGTCAGGGAAAGGATGAAAACAACCTTGAGTCAGCTTCGGCGTCTGACTTGAATGAATTGGCGAGAAAGGGAGTCATCAAAGTCGCGAGAGATAGTAACGGAAGACTATCATACACGACAGAAGTCCGACTTCGGTCGAAGTCTGGGGAATATCGGTGGCATCTTGTCCGCTGTGTCGAGATTGACAATGTCGACTTTGGCGACGGCGCGAACTCGTACTTTGGTTCTGCGACGGACATCAACGATCATAAACTCTTGGAGGCTAAGCTGAAGGAAGCGATGGAGTCGAAGAGCCGATTCCTCAGCAATATGTCACACGAGATCAGAACGCCACTCATTGGAATCTCTGGCATGGTGAGCTTTTTGCAAGACACCGAACTCGACGAGGAGCAAAGGGACTACACAAACACCATCCAGACCAGTGCCAACAGCCTTCTCATGATTATCAACGATATCCTAGACCTATCCAAAGTCGCGGCGGGCATGATGAAGCTCAAATTTGAATGGTTCCATACTCGAGCTCTGATTGAGGACGTCAATGAATTGGTATCTACTATGGCGATTGCGAAGCGGTTGGAGCTTAATTACATCGTGGATGAGGACGTCCCTGCCTATGTCAAGGGCGACAAAATCCGAATCCGACAGGTTCTCCTCAACGTCATCGGCAACGCAATCAAGTTCACGTCCGAAGGCGAGGTGTTTAGTCGGTGCAAGGTTTATCGCGGAAATGACGCTTCCGGCCTTGCATCGAACGAGATCAAGCTCGAGTTTGCCATCGTTGACACGGGCAGAGGGTTCACGAAGGAAGAGGCCGAGCTCATTTTCAAGCCATTCAGCCAGATCGATGGCAGCAGTACGCGCCAGCACGGCGGCAGCGGACTAGGCCTCGTGATCTCGAGACAACTTGTCGAGCTTCATGGCGGTAAGATGGAAGGCACTGCAGTCCCGGGCAAGGGCTCCACCTTTACCTTCACGGCGAAATTTGGTCTGCCGACGGAAGAGGATTATCCAGAGCTACAACCAAGCCCATCATCAATCCCAGCAGACCATGACTGCCATGAAGACAACACAATTCCTCCAATGTCAGCTATTAGCGCGCCGCAACAACAACAAGAACCACAACAACAACAGCCCCCCAAAACGCGTGTGTCGTCTCGCAACAACCCAGACGCCGATGCGGGCTTGACTTCGACTACTTCTTCGGGCCCTCAATCTAGTGACAGCTCCAATGTCTCTTCAGCTCAATCCGGCTTATCCACGCTCACGGGAGGGTCATCCGTGCCATCTATCAAGGCGGGTCTAGTGCGTCTCAGCGAAGCAGCAAAAGCAACCGGACACGATCTATCGCAGGTAGTACTACCAAACCCATGCGAGGGGAGTCCTCCGGAGATGGTTTCTGACCCGCGCCCACCCGTCTATTCTATTCTTATCGTGTGCCCCCAGACGCACAGCAGGGAGGCTACGAGCCAGCACATTGCCACGACGCTGCCCAGGGACGTGCCTTGCCGGATTAAGGCTCTGGACTCGGCCGACGAGGCTCGGAAGCTGATCAACTCGGAGAATGGACCGCCATTCACTCACATCGTTCTCAACCTACCCACGCCGGAGGAGGTGATAGCGCTCATAGAACAGACGACAAAGTTGCCAAACCGACAGGGCGTCATCATCCTAGTTCTCTCGGATACGGTACAGCGCCAGCAGGTGATCAAGCTGGCGTCAGGCACGGCGTGCGAAAAGCTGATTAGCGAAAAACAAATCACATTTATCTACAAGCCTGTTAAACCTTCTCGATTCGCAGTCATTTTCGACCCTGACAAGGTGCGTGATCTGAGCATCGACCGAAACCGGTCGACGGCGCAGCAGATGGTCGAAAGCCAAAAGGCTAGCTACCTGGAGATCGAGAAGCGCATGGGCAACAAGGGGTACCGGGTGCTGCTTGTGGAGGATAACCCGGTGAATCAGAAAGTTCTCACCAAGTACCTCAAGAAGGTCGGTGTCGGAGTCGACATTGCGACGGATGGACTGGACTGTGTCGACATGGTATTTTCGAGGCCCTACGGGTACTACTCTCTTATTTTGGTAGGTCCACCCCCTTTCCCTTTTTCCTTGATCTTCTGCTTGTACTGGGTTTCTAACTTTGCTACCTTCAGTGCGACCTACACATGCCTCGAAAAGACGGTTATCAAGCGTGTCGCGAAGTCCGGGACTGGGAGAAGCTAAAGGGTAACAGGGCCAAGATGCCCATTATTGCGCTCTCGGCCAACGTCATGTCGGATGTTCAAGAGAAGTGTTTGGCTGCGGGGTTCAGCGATTATATCACCAAACCCGTCGATTTCATCGACCTTAGCACAGCCATGTCGAAGTTTTTTTAAAAAAGAGAAAAGACGCAAACCAACTTAACGGACGGGGAAATGGAAACCGGGGGGTTAGGAAAACGGGGTTATTACCGAACTCGGTACTTTGTTTGATATCGTGTATTATTCTTTCTTTTCGGGATGGCAAGAACAAACATGTTTATGGGGCGTTACTGAGTGGGTTGGGTTTCGCTGTCTGGGTGTTAATACCTTTTAATGTTGTGCTTCTGGAGTGGAGGCTTTAGTTTTATATCTTTATATCATTGTTTGGTTCTCTGGTTCTTCTCTCTTGTTGACGTGCTTTGGTCTTCTATTATTACTGGCGAAGACGGTCTTGGGCATGCATGACACAGGAAAGAAAAGAGAGTTCGTAAGAATCAAGACATTGGGCCTGCTACCGCTTCCTCACTTCGCTTTTGCTTATCCTCGACTCGACTTCTATCATTGACCCTCACTTTCTAGGTGACCGACTCTTCTCGTCGAAACATATGGGTCATTCTCTTCCCAGAAGAAGAAGAAGAAGAAGAAGAAGAAGAAGGAATACTATAAGAAACAGGAGTATTGTACTTCTTCTCTCTTCCACCCCCTTGCACCCTCCCTGCTTCGTAGTTGTTTTTCTTTTAGCCCTCGTGAAGCTTGATGGGCGCACGGGATACTGGGAAGGGAGGAGAATCCATATTGGCTGTGTTCGGCATGTATACCTGTTTTCCCTTTCTGTTCATTCGTGGGTTGATATATAGGCGCATCTATTTGCCCATCCTAGAACGTCTAGAGTAGTGAAAAATCAGTGGGGAGAGAGAGGACGAAGGGCTAAGGTTCCAGTTTCGGGCTCGGGGAGAAGTGAAACTTCTCAATGTTCACGATACCCCCCAAGCTCGAGTTTACGATTCTCGGCATCAGTCCATCGCTTGTCGCGCTTAATATACATATCTGAGCCGCCGACTCCTGGATCAAGTTGGCCCAGAGAGCAAAGAGTTGGATAAGTGACAGCCTAAAGGGTTGAGTGAGGCTCGACGTTGAAGATCGGAACAACAATGGTTTTTCTTCACTATACTTGGACTTGGACACTTTGTCCCATCTTGAATCTGTCTAATAAGGGAGCTAAAAACATGAAGAAAGGGGGTATAAAGGAGGAAAAAGAAGAGGAAGAAAATAATTCTAGAGTGAAGTAAACCCATGTAAATAAAGCTGCCCGCCCCGTCTCTCCTTTATTCGTCTCGAAGAACAAAAATACCATAGTTTCTGCGCCTCCAACTCCGTCTATGGGGATATATATAAGATGGTTCTGTAATATGCATATACAGGAGAAAAGAGGGAAAAAAAAAATAAGTTATATCTCCCAGCGAAACGCATTCATGGCGGTTCCACCCCGTTTGGGCCGCTTTCTTTCGTCGTGTTGAACTTGATCCCTGCCCTCCTCCCATCGTCGTGTCTTTTGCCCGACATGTTACTCGTAGCGTTATGTACCGCGGAACAGAATCGTCGACATCGTCCTCCCATCCTTGTCCATGCCCATACACCGTTCGTTTCCCATTCCCGCAACAGATTAGTTATATATACCGGGGCGCCTTTATCCAGAAGAAGCAAGACTCTCTTCCTCCATCACCCTTCCTTCTCTCCCCCTCAAGGTTTTTCTGATCTTCGCCTTTTTCTTTTTTTCGTACTTACGCCGCCTTCTCCTCCTTCTTCTTCTCATTCGTAGGAATGCGACCCTCGGTGATGGGGTGCTTAATAGTCAAGCACCAAATATCCAAATAATCACACAGCGTAACGATGACATCGACGACGAAAGATCCGTAGACGCCAATGGCCATGCCCAGCATGCAAAACATAAAAGCAACCTGGTAAACGCCACCGCCCAACGCGCTCGGCCACCCGAAGCCGAAATGGGCCTGGAGAAGCGGGCCCAGACTATCGACGACGCCGAAGAGCAGCGGGAGGCCCAGAACGTTGAAGTAGGGGAACTTGAGGAGGACGAGATGAGCCGTAATCATCTGCCCAACCGAGTACGCGTTAACGACGCCGGCGAACACGGCGAAGGGCACGAGGTGGTTCGTCCGAATGGTGGGCTGGAGATAGAGGTAGGAAACGACGAGGGACCAGATGGCGAAGAAGGGGAAGAGGCCGAGGAGGGCGCCGCGGGATTTGTCGCCGCGGGCGCGACGGGCGCGGATGACGTTTTGGGCGGACTCGAGGGTGTTCCAGACGAGCACGACGGCGCCTTGCACCATGTACCACTCGGTGAAGGAGAGGTTGTAGAGCCATTCGGGGAGAGGCAGGGCGGTGGAGGAGAGGCCGAGGGTGGGGAGCATGGGTTGTTGCCAGAAGGAGGCTCCGCCTTTGTAGCCGGTGAGGGCGTAGACGCCGACGAGGAGGAGGATGCCTTCGACGGGGCCGTTGACGATGCCGAGGGTTAGGGTCTTGGTGTGGTATTCGTCCCAGGTTTGGACGTAAAAGGTTTGCAGGGCTGGGAGGAGAGATTGTTAGTTTTCTCTGCTGTGTGTATCCGGGGTAAAAAGAGCCCGAGCTTGGAAAACGGGGGTAAGGAAATCTGGTGGAGAGCTTACAGGCAAAGAGGGTGGCTACGGTGTACCAGCTCTGACCCATATTTTGCGACCCGGCGAAGATGAGAACCTCGAGACAGGTATTAAGCGCGTCGACGCCATGATCGAACAATTCGCCCAGGGGACCGCTCTGTTTCGTTCGTCGACTGTGCCACATCACGTCGTTGTTAGTCAAAGAACACCCTCCGACTCGAGCATTGCGCCAACACGCCGGGGAGAGAGAGACAGAAAAAGGGAAAAAACTCACGCCTGCGCACCATCCACAGCATCAAAAGTCTGATACAAGAACAAGCCCAACGCCCACGAATAATACACCCACGGCGGACAATCCTGGTCAAGCGAAGGGTTGTACCAGAGCAGCGTAAGGAAGTTGGCGACGACGAACATGAAGCCGGTCAGGGTGATGAGGTTGGGAGCCATGCTCATGGGGAAGAGCTTGATGACGACATGGGTGTAGAAGGGCTTGAGGATGTACTTGGAGGTCAGAGACCGGTCGACGCCAGAGTATTTGTATTGTTTGAGGTTGGGGAGGTGTTGGCTGCGTAGGTAGGCCATTTTGGAGGTGGTTTTCGGTTGCCCGTTCGTGTCAACTCGATTGTTTGGAAACGGTGTCTAGGTCCTTTTTATTGGGTTTCTGTTTGGAAGCTAGAGCTATTGGGCCGACAAAGATTGAGTTTAGCGGATCTGATCTCGGAGACGGCGGAGTGGCTTTCGAGCTCGACCGGGAAATGCGTCGCATCAATCAGGAACCGTAAGATTCGAGTCCTTTGTTAAGGGTTGCTGTTGTTTATGAAAGCCAACGTTTCGCGACAAGAGGTAGCCGGGAACGAACGCGAGATTCGATGTGGGATCTCGGACGGGTAGAGAAACAACACAGGACGCCGGGGAAGAAAAAAAATGCTATTAAAAAAGGAGGCGGAAAAAAAAGAAAGAAAGAAACTCGAAAGCGGTGAAGTGGGGACTAGAAGCCTGCGGAAGGTGCGATGCAGGAGAAAGACCGAAGTGGACTTGACTCTTCCTTGGGTCTCCCGAAAGCAGTGGATGATGCCGAGATCGATGATGCCGAAAAATACCTGCAGAGCGAAAGCAGAAAAGAAAAATTCCTGGAAAAGGGAGGTGTGTAAATTTCCTGCGCCAATCTTTTTTTTATGACGATCTGGCCAAAGATTGCAAGATTTCGACCAGGGTCGCGTCCACACACAACCCGCGTGTGGAGGGAGGAGGGAGGGTACAAGCGGGATGTATCGTATCGTCATCTTCTCTCGTTCATTTCCCCCGTTGCCCCTTTCTGGGGATGAAGTTCTGGCTCTTGCGCCCACGCGACCAACATGTGCATCATGCCTTTTTTCTTCCCTTTCTGTCCTAACAAGACAAGATGTCACGCGCTGCAGAATCTGTCACAGTCTCCCAGAGCTTAGTTTACACACTACACTACAGATTGGTGATACCATCCATCTCGGAATCCTTGTGCCTACGCATACTTTTCCAGTGTGGTGCAGGTATGACATAGGTCATGTCGGTAGCCAGGAACCAATGATGTGCTGATCTGGCCCTCTTGAACGCCTGGCTGGGCTGGACTGTTGGGTCGATGGTGTTTGCAGCATGGGGGTGACTTATGGTGACTTATGGTGGGAAACCCTTGTTTGACTCGGGCCGTTGGTTCTACCCGTTCATCCGCCCTCCTGTTCTGACAAGGACGTGCTTCTTCTTAGAGAGACCGCTTCCTTCAATGCTAAAACTATACCTTCGTGCAAAGGTAGATTATTATGGCAAACGTCGGACCAGGCAACATCTCGTCCGTGCACGATAATCTACCCGAAGCTCATGATTTTCATCACTACAAACTTCAGAAGACTTCACCGCCGTTGCAGTGCTTCATAGTGTCCGCTGTCAGTTCCTCTTCGCCCATAAAACGGTGAAAACGTGTTGTCAGTCGGGTGGCTTGACATGATGACCCCGGTGCGCCTTGATGGTCCGAATCTCGGTCTTGGCTCAAAAGTCCGAAATTGTTCTCGTGGGCCACCATCTCTCTCTGATTAGCTTCGAAGACATCATGCATTCCAGAGAATGATTATCGTACGAAGGCTATTTTCCGCAGTACAGAGGTAGATCGCCGACATTTTTATTAACCCCCAACTGACGCAGGCAGCCACACTTGATCTCGAGCCAAGCCTCGCTCGATATCGGACTTTCGGACAGCGTTCCTAGAACTGTACACAGTACGAAACACTACACACTACACACTGCACTACGCACTACGGAAACGCCAACATCAAATCTGTCGTCTTGCTCTGACCTCGACCGAAGGCAAAGGACGACCACGCCAAACGGCAAACAGAAGAGAAGAGTGCAAGAAGTCGGAAGAAAAAGAGAAATGCTCATTTATATTCGTTCTCTCATAAAAACAAGAAAACAAGGCAAAAAAGAACGCCAGTCCAATCTGTGCCCCCATCTCCCTCCCCCCAATAATCGCCCACGATTTTTGTAACATCTTCCCAGCGGTGTTTGTTTCTAACACAATTAAGCCACCGAAGCGATAACCAACGCAGCCACGTCCTCCTCCTCGGCCCTTACCACAATCTTCATCGTGACTCCAGACTTGGCCGAGTACGCCATCCTGATGCTGCTGATGACCCTTCCTCCATTCACCGTCTTGCCCAGGAGCTTCAAAGTGTGCGTGGTCTGGTTGACGGGCACGTCTGTACCCTCGAGCGCTTGTAGGGAGAGCGCCTTGATGAGTTGTTCCGTAGCATCTGTAGTTTTGGGGTTTCCCACCGTGTTAGTAAGATCATGGTTCTCGGATGAGATAATCCGTGTAATCTGTGGTGCGGAAAGCAAAGAAACAACAGAGAAAGGGGCCCTACCTGATATGCTCTTGACGCTGCTGAGCTGCAAAGTCTCCTGCGCCTCCTCGCCCGCGGCACCAACCTGCTCCCAAATATGATTAAAGTTGCTGGCAAAAGTCGGCACCACATAATCGCTCCCCGCCAACTCAAACTCGGCAACCTCATACTCGTCGTCGTAACCCGTCTCCTCGGGTTCGCCCGTGGCGGGGTCGATCTCCTTGCTAGTAAACTTGAGCACGTTGGAGAACTGCGTGACGGGGAGCGCGCCCTCGCCCTCGACCTTGCGGAACGCCACGTACACCTTGCCGGGCTCGTCGGTCGCCAGCTTCTCCGCCTGGATGATGAAGACCTCCTCCAGTTCCTCGTCGTCCGCCGGGGTCGCCACGACCGACACGTTCTCGAGCACCGTGTCGGGGAGCGTGTTCTTGACGTCGTATTGGAGGACGATGTGCTCCTTGAACACGTGCTTGACCACGCTGACGGCGTATTCCGTCTCGGCCTCCGTGAGCTCGACGGGGAGAGACGACTTGAGCACACTGCCGAACTCGCGCATCTCGGGGATCTGCATGAGCTCTTGCGCGTAGCGCTGAGAAGCAGCTGCGGCCGACGCTCCGGCGTCCGCTCCCGAGGCGCTGGTCTTTGTGGGGCCGACCTTGGGAGGCTTGAGTGAGGGCGTGGTCACCGTTAGCTTCTTTGTCCTGTCTTCGGCGTCGGCTTGCTCGCGTGTGACGACGGGGATCTTGGAGATGTCGAATGGAGAATCAAACGTAGATTTCTCGTCCGACGTGACGTAAAGAACGAGTTGGTTCTCAAAGTATGGGAGGGAGAACATGTCGTCTGTGTAACGAAGGCGCTAGTTAGTAAAAAAGAAATCTCTCACACGTAAGGTACAAACTCTGCTTCCTTGATTAGACGTACCGCTCTTGACAAACTTCTCCGCAAGCTCGTCCTCCTCATCCTTCATGAGGCTAAGGTTGAGCGCAGCCCGATCACGGACCTCGTCATCGACATCGTCAAGGCACCTAGTAAGAAGCACGCGCACGCTCTTCTTGACCTCGGGGTCCTTCTGACCAACACCAAACTTGGCGAGCGCAGTCACCGCAGCCGCCCGGACGATGGCGTTCTCCAAAACCACTCGGTTGTAGATGTAACGGATATACTTGGTCGGGTGAGCCGTCTTGGGGCCCTCGAGCCCGATCAGGTGAAGGATGCGGACGGCCAGCTTCGTGAACTCGCAATCCTCGATAAACTCGCATAGATGCGCTAACGCCTCCTCCTTGGAGTCGGGGATAAACTTGATCAGGTCAAACATGCTCTCGACGACCGCCCTCTTGAACTCGTAGCCGCCATCATCGCGGAGGATGCTGCTGAGGAACGTGAGCATGCCAGCCTGCTTGCTCGGGAACTTGAGACACAGGGTTCGGATAGCCTCGACGATGGTGATCTTGAACTCATCGGTAATCTCCGACATGAAGCCCGAAATCTGCTTCATCAATCGATCAACGCTTGCCTCGTTACCCGTCTTAAGGAGCGTCGTGATGGCAAACGTGGCAATTGACCGGTTGCTGTTAGAGATCAAAAGCTCGATATCGGGGTTGCAAGGGCTAACGGCGTTGGGCTTGAACGAAGCGATGCTATGGAGGATGCGGAGCGCCGCAAACTTGGTAACGGCGCGCGGCGACGTGAGGAAGAGCTGGAGGACGTGCACGGCCTGCGCAACCTCGTTGTCGGTAACGTCTCGCATGTCGCAGATGGCCTTGGCGGCCTCGAAGTTGACCATTTCCGACTTGTGCCTCAGCCACCCGTCGAGAAGCTGCATCATGGGCTTCCTCAGCGAGGCATCCTCCTCGGCGAGCTGGGCCGCTAACCGGACGAGCATGACAACCGCAGCGGCGCTCTTGACGGCACCAGCAACTCCAAACTGCTGCACCATCTTGACGAGCGCCATCCTGTCGTGCATGCGCATCTGGTAGAGGAGTCCAATGGCATGGTATTGCGTCATAGTCGAGTTGTTGGCAGGCATCTGGCTGCCAGAGAAGCCTAGGGAAAAGCCCCCCGAGGACTTCGTCGAGGCTGCAGCCTCTTGGGTCTCGCTTTGCCATCGCTTAACGACATCCCTGGCAATGGGGAGAAGGTGATAGGAGGATACGAGGGCAGCGGAAGATACCGATGGGTTCTTATCCACGATTGCCGTCTTCATTACTCGCTCAATCGATTGCACGGTGGTAGCCTAGATACAAGAAAACCTACATTAGCTCTAATATATCAAACCTAAAGGTCTGCAATCGACTACACCCGGGATATATAGCACGGCACTCACATCGATAATGCGGCACAGAGCTCGAATGGCATTAGGTCGGTAGATGGACTCGGCGCTGCCGCCAGTATCCTTCATGATGGTGCTGGTGACCATGATTATGTCTTCGGCGGAGTTGGCAAGCTCCTTGATGATTAGGTGGACCATTTGTCGCAAGCTGGGATCCTTATTCTGGAATAGCTTCGAGATGCCAAAGAAGAGCGTGGTAGCTTCATTTGTGGGGAACTTCTCCCCCGTGTACAGGAGGAGTGCGATCTTGGTAAGGAGGATACGACATTTCCGAGGTTGTATCGGGGAACTGTTAAACAACCGCGCTGTTTGGGGTGGTCAAGTTAGCTATTGGTTCTGCTTCTCTCTGGTGTATACCGGTGATGGACCGCAGCATCACCGCCTTTAGGCGTCGATTTTGGGCCACATACCCTCTTGGAAGACCTGGGTCCGATCGACCTTGACGAGGCCTAAATCGGCGTCTTCGTCTTTCTTGCCGTAGCTCATGGTGGGCGAGTTTGGGATTGGGGTCCTCGTCTACGGCGTCGGGGATCGGTAGGTTAGGACGTGAAGTGTGCGTGTATAGTATCCCCCCTTCGAACCACGTTGCGAGCTTGGACGTCTGAGATGCTCGATAGGGGCGGTTGACAAAGTCACGTGATTCGATTGGACAAGGTGCCACGGTCTTAGCTCCAGTGTCATACAGCTGGCATCTGGCGACGTTTGGGAAATGCTCAGAGCCCGCAAAGCCTCGACCCTGGAGCTATTCCTGCCATCAATTGATGTCTTCGTCGATCCTTTCTCGTTATCTTCCAGCTTTGAAGAGTGATAGCTAGAGCCATCATCATTTGCTACTGCATTGGCCCGGGTTCGAGACAGACTCCATCCTTTACCAAGTTACACACCTCAATTAGAGCCTTGTTCTTTTTCTTCTTTTTAATTTTTTTTTCCCTCCAGCCCCAGGGTATCACAGCTCAAAAATCCAATTTATAAACCGATGTGATCTCCATGAATGCGTAATATATGTTTTATTGTATTGAGGGGAGATGGATCAATGCTGCCTTGTGTTTGTTCTGAAGTACCGCCCTGTCACGGGCCAAGACACTGATTTCCAGAACAACTCTAAGGCCAGTTGGGTACGAGCAGACCTAGATGGAACTTGGCGACCCAACAAGCCTATCATCTCCATCCCACAACATCATTGATGCGAAAACCCTCGGGGGAATCAACGGCTGTTTGACATCTGATCCGACCAAAGAACAAAACTCAAACAGCTTCGGGTCCTCTTGCCGCGAGAGGACATCACATGAATATAAGTTTACGAAGTAGCTCAGTCCCTCAGGAACACCAACCACCCAGAGACTCAAGAGTCACCGGCGCTTATGTGTGAGTAATGCGGTGTGGAATGAAGGCCGCAGCTCGTCTGAGATTTCGACTTATCCATCCGTTTTTGTATTACGCTTTTCCATCATCAAAGCACCATTACCCCTCCAAGCTACTTCGCAGATAATGGAGGGGAAGAAGGCTGTGCTGGCTGCCGTTTGGCCACAGCAGGAATCCCAGCATTATCAGAAATGTATTTTTACCATCAGATCCCACAGGTACATGCCGGGTACTCGTCAGCTCGGCGCTGCATGCCAATCCCACCGCTCATATTATTCTGCGCGCTGCTAGTGTTTTTATGCGGCGAGTAGAGCGGCCAATTTTACTTCTTCTCTGCGAACTCCATATTTTCATTTTTTTTGCTTCTTCCTCTCGCCAGGGGTGGATCATCTAGGTTTGGTGTGCGGCGTCCTATGTGGGCTCTTTTCGACCTCAATTGTCGCCCAGCGTCGTGTAGTATCATCGGGCCTGCTCCTAGACTAAACTTCAACAGACGTCAACAAATTGGACCTTGTGGACACATGCAACAAGGTAGCATAGGTCCAACTTTCGACCAGGGCCAGACCATGCTTGGTCCAGCGCAAAAGAACCTGTTATATTTTGTACAGCAGCCTATTCTATGCCGCGTCGGTCACGGACATGGGCATCCATCTCTGAGGACAGGGGGGACAGCAAGGACACAGCTCCCGGATTTTCGTCTCACATTGTGCTGCAAGTTACCCCGCCATCGAAAGTATTGAAATTTTTTTTTCTTTAGCCCCTCCATTCGCGCCCCTCTCTCCATGGCGTTCCGTAGGCACCACTCCACACACGTACTTTCTTAGGCTTGGGGGCCTCGGTCGCGTATCATTCTCACAAGGAGATGTCCGAGAAGGAAGAGCTTTCACAGGAGAATTACCTTAAACTAGACTAGTAGATAAGACTAGCGAGGAGAACAAGACGGGAGAAAAAAAGTTGTGTTGAGCAACGGAGTGGATTGGAGGGTCGCTTTGCCACAGTGGCAGTCTCAGGTTTCCCCACATAAACGGGCCAAAATTTGCCATGGGAAAGGACCGTCCGTGTACGAAGCAGAGGCGGCGACTTCCAAGGCCAGTCGAGAAAGAACGAGAACGAGGGAGTGCGGGCTACAAGCTATGAGCTACGAAGTACCGAAGTACGAGATTGGAATGATGGACTCCCTTGTTCGTTCGTTCGCAATGCAATTCTCTGCTCATTACGTGAGTCACGGCAAGGAGGAAGCAGCACTGGAGACTTGTTAGGCGCGACTGGAGCAAGTTGGGCATCTGGAATCTGGAAAGCGCAGGAAACCTAGGAAGGTACAATCAAGGTACGAGCTTGTATTTCGCGGGTCGGGAAAGCGCAGGCTCTGATTGGTCAGAAAGGGAACATCCCATTGACTTATTGACTTGCCCTAAAGGTGGGATGGCGGTTTCCCGGCCAGGCCTGCACAAAAACTTTGAAATCTACCCCTCCCAAAAAAAGTGCTTTGCCCCTCACTTCCCTCGACTCGTTTTTCCCCAGTCGCCTTTAAAAACACCACCTCCCTCTCCTCTATCCATCACACACTTTTGAACTCTTCTGATCGTCTCGCACACCGAGGATCGATTTGGCATCCCAATCTGCGTATGTTTATCCTCTTCTCCATGCTTTTCCATCGTTCTCATCATCTTCATCATCATTGAGAGCGTCGCGAACTAACTGTCTGCTTCAGAATTCCTTTCCATCTCCCTATTCAACTTTTTTCCACTTTTTTTTCTAACCAGATCAAACCTTCACAATGGGGTAAGTCGACAAGGAAAAATTTTCATCATCGCGTTGATCGCTCGCCATCGGCGCGCGGTCGATGAACCGATGCTAACAATCGCCGCAGTAAGGACGAGAAGACTCACCTTAACGTCGTCGTCATCGGACACGTCGACTCTGGCAAGTCGACCACCGTAAGTTCAAACCCCCGGTCGTCCCCTCGACGCGAGATGTCGTCGTGGCTTTCGCAACCCCGCGATCTGCTATGACCCTGGACGGCGGGGCTAACTCTCACGGATAACAGACCGGTCACTTGATTTACCAGTGCGGTGGTATCGACAAGCGTACCATCGAGAAGTTCGAGAAGGCAAGCAAACACACTTCATCTTCCCTCTGTCTATTCATTCTCTCCCTTTCTTTGCCCTATTCGACTATTTTTTTCGCCTTTATTCCATCCGACTTCTTGTGGCCTGGAAATGCGCTTGTTTTTTTTTTTTTTTCCTACCCCTGCTTGGCGGGGTTCGCTGAGATTGCCCTCCCCTCTTGCCATTTTAGGCGGCGGGGTATTTGGCCCCACTAAAGCCAGCGCATTTTTGGCGGGCCTGGGGCATCTGGCATCTGTGCCCAAATGCATCATGACGAGCATCGCATGGCATGGCAGCTAACACATTCTACAGGAAGCCGCTGAACTCGGCAAGGGTTCCTTCAAGTATGCCTGGGTTCTTGACAAGCTCAAGGCCGAGCGTGAGCGTGGTATCACCATCGATATCGCCCTCTGGAAGTTCGAGACCCCCAGGTACCAGGTCACCGTCATTGGTATGTTTTTGTCTTTTTGTCTTTTTGTGCCTGTTTGTGCCTTGCACAATTCTAGCCCACGATAATTATGAACCGCGTACTAATACGTCGTTCTCCCACCACCTACAGACGCCCCCGGCCATCGTGACTTCATCAAGAACATGATTACTGGTACCTCCCAGGCTGATTGCGCCATTCTCATCATTGCCTCCGGTACTGGTGAGTTCGAGGCTGGTATCTCCAAGGATGGCCAGACCCGTGAGCACGCTCTTCTCGCCTTCACCCTCGGTGTCAAGAACCTCATTGTTGCCATCAACAAGATGGACACCAACAACTGGTCCGAGGACCGATACAAGGAGATTATCAAGGAGACCTCCAACTTCATCAAGAAGGTCGGCTACAACCCCAAGGCCGTTCCTTTCGTCCCCATCTCCGGTTTCCACGGAGACAACATGCTTACCCCCTCCACCAACTGCCCCTGGTACAAGGGTTGGGTCCGTGAGGTCAAGGGTAACACCCTTACCGGCAAGACCCTTCTCGAGGCCATCGACTCCATTGACCCCCCCAAGCGTCCCACTGAGAAGCCCCTCCGTCTTCCCCTTCAGGATGTCTACAAGATCGGTGGTATTGGCACTGTGCCCGTCGGCCGTATCGAGACCGGTATCCTCAAGCCCGGTATGGTCGTCACCTTCGCTCCCTCCAACGTCACCACTGAAGTCAAGTCCGTCGAGATGCACCACGAGCAGCTTACCGAGGGTGTCCCCGGTGACAACGTTGGTTTCAACGTGAAGAACGTCTCCGTCAAGGATATCCGCCGTGGCAACGTCTGCGGTGACTCCAAGAACGACCCCCCCGCTGGTGCCGCCTCTTTCCAGGCCCAGGTCATTGTCCTCAACCACCCCGGCCAGATCGGTGCTGGTTACGCTCCCGTTCTTGACTGCCACACTGCCCACATTGCTTGCAAGTTCGCCGAGCTCCTTGAGAAGATCGACCGCCGTACCGGTAAGTCGGTCGAGAACAACCCCAAGTTCGTCAAGTCTGGTGATGCCGCCATCGTCAAGATGGTTCCCTCCAAGCCCATGTGTGTTGAGTCCTTCACCGAGTACCCCCCTCTCGGTCGTTTCGCCGTCCGTGACATGCGTCAGACCGTCGCCGTCGGTGTCATCAAGTCCGTTGAGAAGTCCGTCGGTGGTACCGCCAAGGTTAGTATTGAAAACTTTTCTTCCCCTTCTTTCCCCCTCTTCTCAACCGAGCATCCATGTTAACCATTGTCGTCGCTCTCCAGGTCACCAAGTCCGCTGCCAAGGCTGGCAAGAAATAAATTACCCCCTCCTAAAACTCCCTCTCCTCCGGCGGGCAATCAAGCGAAGCACTTCGCTCGTCGGACCTGTACTCACTTCTGCGATGGCGCTATAATATCATTTTTGCTCTAAGATGCATGAGCACTTTAAGGACTACCTCGTGTCGTTAAGGGACACGTAGGGAGATGGAATGGTCCAGGCATCTGCAGACAGAAAAGGTTTTTTTTTTGTCATGTGCTTTAGTACCCCCCAACCAAAAAGAAGATAGAGCCCGAAGAAGTGATTTCTCCCGAAGACTGTTCTTGCCCTCTGGCGTGTTCCTAAATGTCAATGTGATCGTGATGTCTATCGCTAGTATTACCGTATCCTCTCTCGACTTAATTGTATTCATGCCGAGGGCGTGCTTGATGCTCTAGCATTCGTATCTAATGCCCGTAAATATCAAAGGTTTATTCCAATTTTTTTTTCGACTTAGCTCAACACCCAAGCTATCACCTATGCAACTCTCCACCCTCCAAAGATAGGCTTCTCTTCCTCCTTCTGGTCAAGCCATACCAACAAATGCGCAACGAAAGTTTCAAAGAGATAGTTTAATGCGAAAAGTCCGAGAAGTTCTATATTTTACAGGTAGTCCCCATCTAAATCGATCCCCCTCCCTCCCGAAAATGGAATGGAAAGTTAAAAAAAAGAGGAGAATAAATATAAACATTAAACAAAAGAAGACAGAAATCTAGAAGAAATACAAGAAAACTAGAAATACACCGGCGAAGTGAATCAAGCCGCCAACTCATCCGCCGAAGCAACATGCTCAACGGGCCTCGAGCCGATCCAAGGGAAATACCTCCCGTTGGCGACCTGTAGGACCTCTTTCAGATAGGACCTGACGGGCAGGTTGTTGGCGGCGTCTTCTGGGTCGGGGGAGATGTCATCGCCGGTGGTAGTAGAAGTGGTGGTGGTGGTGGTAGTGGTTTGTGTGGTGGAGGGACTTGCGTCGAGGGAGAGCTGGGCGCTGCGGCCTGCGTGGTGGCCTGCTTCGACGGAGGTGTAGCGGAGGGTGTGGCCGTGGAAAGGGAGGGAGGATTCGGTGTGGAGCTCTAGGCCGGCGAAGAGGAATTTGGCATTGGTCGTGTCGGTGAGGTTCGATCCCGAGGTGGTGGAGAGATCGTCACTCTCCGTGCGACGGCGGATGAACATTGTGGGGATGGGCAGGGAGAGTGAAGGAGGTGTCAGGAGAGTCCCCGTTGAGAGGTCAAGCTTGGAAAGGTCGAAGAAAGTGCGTAGGGGCTCGGAGGCTTCGAGGGCCTCAGCCCGGATCTCGTGCATGATGGATTGTGTGATTTCGGCGTCGACAGGAGAGCCGGGGAGGAGAACCTGGCTGACCTTGCGCTCGTTGACGGCGAAGAGCCGCTTGGTGGTTGAGGGCCAGGATAGCGGGCCCGAGAGCTGGGAGGGCTCTATGCGCAGGTGGAATTCTAGGTCGGGACAGACTTCTCGTTCGGGCTTGGGGAGTTCCGGGTGGGGGACGAAGCGGAGGATGATCTTGGTGGTGGTCTCGTTGGGTGCGGAGGAGGGTGGGACTTGTAGAGATGTTAAGGCGGAGGGTGGAGGGGAGACGGGGCGGAGCTTGGTGGGGAAATCGCCCTTTTTGAGGGGTGTGTAGGGCTCGGATGAGGTATAAGGGTAAAGGACGTGGCCGAATGTGGCAGACGTGCTGGTAGTGTGTGGGTGCCATCCTTCTGGGGCGTTATCGGCGGCAGCCCAACGTATGGCGGGCAGCTTGAATGCAGCCGTGGATGGCTCGTCCGTATCTTTGTCCAAGTTAGCCTGCGTGATCGTGGTGGCTTCATCTTGCGCTGCTTCTGTCGAGGCAGGGAGGGCAGAGTCTTCAGACACGACGGACGTTGTCGAACTATCTTCCGTCTGGGTCTCCGACGCTGGACCGACACCCTCTTCCGCTGGTACCTCTTCCTCAACAACCGGTTGTTCATAGGCCGGCTTAGGCAGCGCTGGATGTACAAGTCTAGACCACACATGGTATCGTTTGTCCCATGGTAGCTCATGGTTGTCGCCCCAAAGCCTGAGGAGCAAAAGGTCACGTTCCTTGATCTTGGTCTCATCGTAAATTATGTCGAAGGACGGTCTCGTGAGGCCAGGTTGCTGCGTCGCATGGGAGAGAAGGCGGTAGATGACATCCTTAGTCGACTCAACGGAGTCCGGGCGCTTCTCATTTTGGAGCCAGAAAACGTGGATCTAGAGAAGACAGTCTGGTGTTAGGAGCTGGGGCTAAACACATATCACAAAGAACCTGTAAACGTACCACTTTTGAACCGGTACCATACTCAAGCCATGTGGTGGTCAAGATGCTCAGTTGACGGAGGTCCTCTTTACTAAGTCTCTTGGAACCCAAACCTGACATTGGGATAGTAGAGTGCCGGATCTTGGAGACAAACTTGTCCAATTGAGCGAGAACTGTTTCATACTTCGACCTGGTGGCAAAGATGTGCAGTCTCTCCTTGTCGGGTACGGCCTTGATGCCGGCACCGTCGCCAAGATGCCTGTTGATGGTATTCATGGTTCGGTTTTCCGCTATTAAATATATTAGACCGAATCCGGAAAAAAGGGCCGTGGTACGGGGGAAGGAGGGGAGCGGAGTAACTCACTAAGAAGAAAGTTGAGAGTCGAGCTATCAACCTTGAGCTCGACCTCACCGATATGCGGCGTCTCTTCCATGACCTGAAGACGCCAAGACATGCGCATTATAATCAACGCAATCTTCTCCTTCGCCGAGCTGCCCCAATAATAATCCAACGGCGGCACCCAGGAGTACTGTTTCTTGATCCAGTGGTATCGTGGTGGAATTGGATACCTCAACTTTGTCCCCAGGCTCCCCGTAACCTGCTTCACCACGTCCCGCCTCTTCTTATCCGACAAAGGCACATCTCTTGGGCCTGCCTTAATGGCTATCGATGAAGACATGTAGTCCTCCAACTGCGCCGTGGTAAAGCCGTCGAGGAGGGTATTAAGAAGCTCATCGAACTCCCGCGCAAGCAGGTCGCGCGACTCGCTCGGCCGCAGTTCCTCGATGTTTCGCCGAGCTTCTTCGACCGTGATATCCCGATCCTGGTCTTCTAGACTCCCCTCGAGGTTGAGCTGGTTCGCAATTGATCCATCGCCCTTATCCTGGTCTTCCTCGACTACTTTTGGCGGCTCTCTCCTCTTCCTCTTGCGATCGCGCAGGACTATGGTGTGGCCCGGCTTGCCGAGGATATCCATGCCAAGACTGGGAGTCTCGAGATCGAATCTGTGGTTGATGCCGCGCCTGACATTCCTGCGCGGCCTTGGCTTAGACGTCGGCTCGAGAGGTTTGTCGCTTTCGGTCGCGAGGGTTTCCGCTGGTTCCGGCTTCACCGCGGGGGTAGCATTTTCACCGACGGTTTCTTTCGCTTCCTCGACGGGCTTTTCAGCTGTTTCGGGCTTGTGATCAGCATCGTCGGTAGTGTTCGTCGAGTATCGCAGCCTTCCAAAACGTAAGGGTTGAGGAGTAAGTATGGCCGGCCTGTAGTGGCAGTTATTGAGCTGGAGCTGGACGCGACATGTTCGGCATACACGAGCTGCGTATGCAGCTTTGGAAAGCATTGAGAATAGATTTACATGAAACAATTATACAACTAAAAGAAGAGGAGAGAAAGCTGCTAGGTATCAGAGGGTCATCGAAGCAAAATGTTGGACACCCCCAGCTTAAGCATACATCAAATTTCCATTTCCTTGCTCTTATCGATAAGGAACAAAGATTTTCCGACCCACCTCAACGCGTCCAAATCCGGCGTAAATGGAAGGCGCGTTGACCACACCCCTCCAAAGCGCAAATGTGAATTAGACAACGCAGCTTAAAGCATCGCCTCTCAACGCTATCAAGTCATAGATAAACCCCCGTGCTCGATAATCCTCTTTCCAAATTGCGACCTTTTTTCCTGTTATTTCAGAATGGCTCCCCCACGACGCCGTCGCCAGGTAAAATTCTTACCCTTTTGAATTTGATTGCGCCCTTCGCCCATGTTCGCTAACTGGTTGAACGCAACAGACGGAATATGACGAGGAAGATACGGAACAAGCAGATGTTTCAATTCAACCAAATCGCCGGGGCTACGATGGCGACTCTGCGGAGGATGGAGACGAAGATAACCACGACGAAATGGACATTGACCACAGACCCGGCGGCGGCCTCGAGGAACAGCTAGCGACGAAGTTGGTTCGATATGCGCTATCATGCGAGTTCTCCAGAACGCCAATACGGCGGCAGGGGATAAGAGACAAAGGTGGGATAGATCCTGCCAGAAATACCTGGGATTGAAAACATTATTCTGACGAGAAGTGTAGTGCTTGGGGAGCACCCTCGTCTTTTCAGAAAAGTATTCACACGAGCGCAACAGCAGCTACAACATGTCTTCGGGATGGAGATGATGCAACTCCCTACCAGAGAGAAGCTCACGCTCGAAGAAAAGAGAAAAGGTTTCGATTCTATTTCGCTCAATATGTCACCCCCTTCCTAAAGCTGCTAACACCCTCTGCCATCACTATAGCCATAAGCGCCAACAGCCAGACAAAAGTTGCCGAGACATGGATCCTCGTCTCGACATTACCTAAGCCCTTCCAAAATCCTCTCATCGTCACGCCCTCGAAAGCCCCTACTGCCGAAGTGGAAGCGACCTACGTCGGCTTCTACACAATGGTCATCGCGCTCATCATGCTCAACGGCGGCGAAATCACTGAGCAAAAGCTCAAACGATACCTCAATAGGCTCAACGCTGATAGCAAGCTCGGAGCAGAAAAGACGGACGACGTCCTAACCAAGATGGAAAAGTCGGGATACGTCGCGAAGAGAGTCGAGAATATATCGGCCGATCAGGATAAAAACATAAGTTGGCTCGTTGGTCCTAGGGGCAAGCAGGAGGTTGGTCCCGAAGGAGTCGCGGGCATGATTAGGGAGGTGTTTGGAGGCGCGACGCCGAGGTTAGAGAAGCAGCTGTCGGCAAGCCTTGGTACGAAACCGCGTGAGGAGCCGCGGGAGGCGCAGCAGGATGGAGAAGACGAGGAGGATAATGGAGAGGGGAACTCGCGGATGGCGGAAGAGGCACCGAGGCGGAGCGGTAGGCGAGGAACGCGAAACCGCTATGCTGAGGATGATTGAGGTTTGAGGGGCCGAAAAGGGACAATAGCGTTGGCCCATACGTATGACAGCCGCCCGCCAGTAGAGAGATGAAGATTAGCTACCGTAGAGTAGCACAAAACAGTGATGATACCCATGCGACGAAGCCGTTTCTCTAGCACTCTTGACTTCTCGCACCCGCGTAATCTCAGGGATGAGCCTTCTCCATCTGCTTGTCGTCTAGTTTATGTTTTCCTCGCTTATTTTCGTTTCTGAATCATTTCGGCAGGAATCGGGATATCTTCCTCTCTCGGGGGAGGAGGACCACAAGGTTGCAGCATTTGCTAGAAAACTCACGAAAAACACGTTAGCAACTCTCTACATAGACAAATCGAAAGACAAGGCGGGATCGGGAACGTACCCTGATCAACCTCGCGCGCACAATCTGAATAGGCTCGTTCTCGGCCGTCGCAATGTAGTTGATAAGCGGAGGATGTCCGACGATGGACGAGAGGGTGTCGCGGTGGATGTTGGTGCGCCATTCCCAGCTCGACGTGTCGGGGTGGCCGGTGCCTACATATTTCGCCTGAAGGCGCTCGAGCTCTTGCTGCGTGCGGAGTTTGTCGGCCTACGTAGAAAGTTAGTTTCAGTGCTACAAAACAAATATCGAAACAGCGTAAAACACATACCATGGTTAGTGTGGTTTGTTTCAAAAGCTGATGAGATGCTTTTGTGATGCGAAGAAGAACCTTGCAGCTTCGCAAAGTCTTGGTCGAGCTTGGCTTTCAGACGCAAGTTTGAGGTTGGAGCTTATGTAATCACAATCACCTCTCAGTTGGTCTTTCACAGTTGACTAACTAAACATCAAAAGCTCACACCTTCTCACATCCCATCATCAATACCTTCAATTCCTTTTAGTTTTCTATTCCCCTTTCCAATTAGAAGGACGCGCCAACATGCCCGCCAATGCTGTCGCACCCGCGACCCAACCCCGGGGCTTACAACCCGACTACACCCTGCCACTCATAAAAGACTGGACACACACCCTCCGCAACCTCCGAAGCTCGCGGCGCCGATGCGTCGAACGCGTCACCGCCATAACAGACACCTGCCACACCTCCTGCAACAAAGCGCACGTAATACAATGCCGAGAACACTACGGATCCGTCATCGAAGCGATTCGCGAGCGGTATTTCAGCAAAGACGCCAGCGACGAGTGGTTCTCCGGCCGCGACGACTTGCTGAAGGAATTAGCCCATCTCCTAGACGAAGCTAAGGAGCTGCGGGCGCGGTTATCAGACGTCGAGGCGAGGGTGCAGAAGGAAAAAGCGGCGTGGTATCGCGAGGTGTTAGCGCGGTACCCTTACTTTCTCGACGTCGCGGAGAATTTTGGGGCCGAGTTCGGTCGCCTTCTGGCGGACGATGCGCAGTCCACTGAAGACCTCGCGCGCGCGGTGCGCAAAGGTATCGGGAGGGTTAGAGGCCGACCGATTAACCTGGAAGATTACCTTGCGGCTGTCACCCGCGCCGAGGACACGGGGGACGTGAAGAAGATGAAGGAGGAAGTCATCCAATTCCTCTTCGAAGTCAACGGATCCGGCAAGATCCTTGAAGGGTCAGAAAAATACGCAGAAATGTACCGAGAAACCCCAGACCTCTCCATCGAGCAGGTCATGAACGCCGTAGATGCCGATCGACGCAGCGCACTCGACAAGCAGCAGCCAGCCGCCACCCCTGTCCTCGCGCCCGCCGAGAACCAACCTTCCTCGGAGCACGCGAAGCGCGTCGAGCAGGTGAAGCGCGCGCTCAAGGAACGGAGCCAAAGGCGCATCGTGGTGGAGGAAAAGAGGCGGCTCATGGACGAGCTGCAGAGGGCGAAGATGGCTCATAAGAAGATCCAGAACGCCAAGTCTGAGAAGAAGCATCGGCAGCTGCCCAAGGAGTTTTATGATATGCCACCGTGCGAGGCGTGTAAGAAGGCTGTGGACCCGAAGGATTTGATTGCTTGTTCGTTGTGCCAGGTGCTTGTGCACATGGGGCTTCAGACTACGCAGGTCGCCTACTGCTCTATGGAATGCTTCGAGAAGGCCCATGTAAGCTTGTCTACTCTCTTTGAAAAGAAAAAGAAAAAGAAAAAGAAATGAAAAAAAAAAAAAGGTTAACAAAAGTTTACTAGGAGCGCCATCTTGAGACCAGCCACACCTGCGAAGCAGGAAAGTACTGCCTCCAAGTCCGCAACACATCCTCGACGAACCCTGCCCCTAAAGAACCCGACGACGCTACGCCACAAGTCTCCCTCTGCAAAGAATGCGTCAACCAACTCGGCAAAGCCATCATCTACTGCTCGCTCCCCTGCGCCTCCTCCAACCTCAAAATGCACCTCGAAGAGGCCCACCGCTCCATGTGGGAAGAGGTCAAGTCCCAGAAGCCACCGCCCGGAAAAGAGGAGAGCGCGAACGGCGGCACTCCTGAGGATCTGCCAAATGTTGGCAAGTTTGTCGAGAGCCTTGAGGATATCTTCCAGGCGAAGATTGGGAGCAAGTTGGTGGGTAAGGAGGTGGGAATGGAGTATCTCCGTCGGAAAGGGTGAGATGAATCCAGATGCGTTTTTTTTTTGTCCTTCTGGATTTGCTCTCTATATATGTATTTCTGCTGCCCTTTCTCGCCTTGCTTAGACGTTCATGACATGAGTGTATATTATTGGGTCGGTTGCTTGGGAACTGAGGCGCATGGTCAGATGGAACCACGAAAAGAACTGAGTTTCCTTTGAGAATTATGTTTCGAGTACAATCAGCATCGATCATGTTTTGTCTTCCATACACCAAGCGCCTCCGAATATCTATTGATATCTACATCACTACCAACGCCCTCGGGGCACGAGTGCAGAGGGCACCCACGACTTGGGACACTGTCACAGACAAATAAGAACACAACAGGTATACAGACCGAAGAATGGTTGTGTATTGAGAGGAAAGTAGAAACATCCGCCACCTAAAAAGTATTCTTTGTGTAGACGCTCAGGGAAAGACGAGGGAAAAGAAGTAGAATCTGACCATAAGGGGATGAAGACCAATGTCGCTCAAATGCAGTGGACCTGGATAACAGACATGAAAAAGTTGACGTTAAGAAATGAGACCCGAATTTCCTTCCATCAAACGAGACGAATAAGCTAGGAAGAAATAAAAAGTACCTGAATTTCTCTCTCAAGACAACCCCCAGTGAGAGCGCCAAACCGAAAGTCTGGCAATAAGAAAAGTGTCGAGGACCTCCTCCTACAATGATGCTCTTCAAACCCAAACCATGGAGACTCCACGAGCTCCTGTATGCTACCAATATCCGTTTGTTCTTTGCAACCCATGCCTACAAAACTCTGGCCCAAAACAAAAAAAGACAATCCCTTGTTCATATTACCTCCGCATACTCTCTGCTTCCTTCCTCGTAGCAAAGTCTTAAAAAGGCCGGCACCGGATATGTTGAATGGTATTGATCAGTTCCCCGTCGCAAAGGAAGACGCCTCGATTCCCGTCTAAGCCGCCCCAAACCCGAGTTTCGTATATGCGATGATGGGGGCCGTTTTCCCAATGACCTTGCCCGAAGTTCCCTCTTTTTGTTTTTCTCTTTTGTGTCAGACAATTTTCTCTTGACCATTTTACTCCCGCCCAGTTTTGTATCTGTTGATTCAAGTTGCCAACCGCTCCCAAAGAAAGACGATAAAAATAGTACTCGCGAACGCATGGCGTAGGTTCATATCTGCGCTAATAGGTAATGGATACGGGACCGGAGAGAGTGTTGAATGGCCTTGCCGTCCGCTTCGCATTCCGTCGAGCGAAGGCTCCTAATGCGTTCGGCTTCGCCCTGCCTCCCAAGTCAAATGTCATCACCACTCCTGAGGATCGACCGTGACCACGTTGACAATAAAGCCGCACATTAAATTTGTGTTTTTCCGCCCATAAGTTAAAAAAGAAGTGAGAGAAAAGAAGAAAAAAAAAAAAAAAGCACAGAAAAACGATGCGGTCGACGTAATAATGACCCGCTAACAACAGTCCAGAAACAGAAAGACCATTAACCAGTGGCAAAGTGCGATACAGACCGGTATTGCGTCTTATGCGTTGACCACAACCTGAGATGAAAGTGATTTCCCATCCTTCCCACGCGCCAGGCTATATTGTATGTGATGGTAACAAGGAGTGAACAGGGCTGAAAAAAAGCAGACAGAAATCGTAAAATGAGAATCGAAAACGCTCGTGGAAGAAATGACTGGAGGTCCCAATGATTACTGCAAGGTCCTGACCCATGCCACTGATAAGAATCACAAATAACACCGAAGCATGTCCCTCGTCCAACTCTTGGGAGTCCAGACTAGGCAACTCGAACAAGTCTTCCAACTCCACCTAAATCAAGGTCCGTCCCAAACGAGCTTGCCAAGAATATCAAAGAGTTGAGCAGATGTGCATGGGAATCGTGAAGAGTTGGATAAAATCGCAGTTATGACCATACCGATTCCAAGCAGAACCAAAACAAGTAAAGAGGGTCCCCGTGCTGGTGCCCTTGCCAAGATGAGATATGCCAGACTCGCAATGCAGTAACAAATGCAGCCATGATGAAAAAACTACCACTCCAAAAGGTGAGAAGAGTGGCTTGACTGGGAAATAAAAACCGAACAGAAATATGGGATAGCCGAACTGAAAGAATGCAAGAGCCGATCGAATCGAGAGGGGGCGGGTCGCGTCAGTCCGCTCCGAAGCCTTGCCGCCGTGGATGCCCCAAAGTGTACACGCCTTCGCTCCCAGGTATCCCTTTCCCGTCATTCCCATCCCTGACATATCTTCATTCCTAAAAAAACGCCCAACACCCTGATCCCGAAGATGGTGACAACTGCGCAATTGATGAAAGAAAAAAAAGGGGGAAATAAAAGGCAACAGAACAACATGAAGGGGGAATCGAACAACCACCGTTATCAAGCCCAAGGATGATGAGAGCTATTTTTTGTTGTTGGAAAAGAAACGAGCAAAACGAGACTTGCCCCGTGATTTGCTTGGCCCTCACAAGCCCATCATGTGCGGGGGTAGGTAATTCGATGTGGCATTGTGTATCGTGTTGGCCGGCGAGCCGCCGGCAGCCATGGCAGGATTGTAGCCCGGTGCACCCCAAGTATGCGCTGACGATGGAATGCCGGGAACGTTGTAGCCATGAGGTCCAGCTCCTGGTCCTCCACCGTAGCCCCCACGATTAGGTGCCAATCCGGGAGGTAGGGATAGTCCAGGAGGTGGACCGCTCGCGGTTGTGAAGCCAGCTACCTGCCCAGATATCATTCCATTCAGGCCACCCATCGCGCCCGAGCTACTTTGCGCCGAAGTTTGCCCAGAGCGCACGCCAAGAGGGTTCTTGGAGAAACTTAGTCTAATACCTCCCTTGACACTGTTGTGCAAAGGCTGGCCATACAGCTCGTGAAGCGCCTTCGTCGCAAAGGAAACGTCTTCGAACTCGACGAAGCACATGGGTCCGTTCTGCTTGGTGCGGAAACATAAGCGTTTATAACCTCGCTGCTTGGAAAAGATGGCTTTCAGCTCCTCCTCGGACGTATCTATCGGAAGGTTGCCGACGTACAAAGTATTGCACGGTGGATTTTGATCAGCGGGATTGACCGGCGGTGGGAAGTTGTGTCTCGGGTAATGGGGAGTAACCGGGAAGTTCATCGGTCGACCGGAACCTGTCGCCATCAACGGAGACATGGCGCTTGGGTGGGTAGGGATACCGCCCATTGCGGGATGGCCAAATTGTGGCAAGGACGACGGGCCGGGCGCCGTTGTATTGAGCGAGAGGCCTGCCATCCGAGAGATGGGAATCTGGGGCGCTGTCGCACGTCGCTGGGCCGTCGCGCCACTCTCTGCGTAGGCCACAGGATCCTTGAGCAGCTCGCCAGTCTCATCATCATCAGCGGCATCGTTGCTTTTAATGAGCGACTTGCCTGAAATTCGCGTGGGCTCCGTCAGATGGTTGCCGATAGGAGACTGCGGCGAGAAGAGGTTTTGATAGATTACACTGGACTCGGGAGTCGGGAGTTCAGTTCCGGTGTACGCACTGCCATTCAGAGGAGGGGAGATGTTTTCGAGCGATTGGAACGGGCCACTCTTGAACCGCGACGTTTGTCGCGAGTTGACCGTGGAGGAGGCTGCCGAAGACGAGGCGGTTGAACTAGTCGACAACGCCGTATCGGCGAGAATTTCCACAATCATGTCAGCGTCGTTGGCAATGTTAGACTTGCCATCCAGCATCGCCTTTGCCTCTTGCGCGCCAGCCGGGGACTTGAAATTCATGATCGCGGAGCGGAATCCCGGGTCGCCCGATTGTTCGATAGGTAGGACCTCGACGCTAATAAGCTCCTTGGACCAAACGGCCATCAATCGTAGCTGTTCTTCGGACGTGTTCAGGGGTAGTTGGCGGATGAGGACGGACGAAGTGCCCGGTGGTGACGGGGTCGTTCCAAACGGCGTACCGATTGGTTTGGTCGTCGCGTCGCGATCGAAGGGATGCGTAGACTGCTTCATATGGAATTGAGGCCCGATGCCGGGGGTGAAAGTCGAGGACTGCGCGAGGAATGCGGAACCGGCCATCGCTGTCGATTTCGCGGTGTTCGAAGGGACTTGGGTATATTGGTTGGTGCGAGTTGTCGTGAGTCCGAGAGGATATTGCGATTTTGTTGACGCGACCGACGACGCGCCCGTCACACTCTGCTCACCATTCATTGCCATCTATGGAGACGCATGCGCGGGAAAGAATTTGTGTTGCGGGAGTGACGCTATTCGGGATATGGATCGTGTCAAGTGGCGAAAAAGGAGCGAGTGATGCAAGTGGACAAGGAGACGAACAATGCTGGTCAAATAGGGACATGAATCGGTCGTCAGCGATGGGAATTAAAAAAAGGTCGGATCGGATTAGAGGGTGATTTGATGAATTGATCGCTTCGGCACGAAAGGCGACAAGACGCGCTTGAAGGAATTTTTTTTTAAGATGTGTTTCGATGACGACTTTTCGGCGCGGCGCAAAAGATGTTGCGGGAAGGGGGGAAATGCAGGCAGTAGCGGAAGTGGTAAGAAAAAAAAAAAGAGGGCTCGATGGAAAAGTTGGGGGTTGGAGATGGAATTTGGTGGGATGGGGAAAGGTGGGAGGACGGAACAAGGCGTTGTGCAAAAGGTGCAGGGACTGGGGACGGGGTGGACAGTTCGACGTTAGTGGTTTGTCGCAAAATGCAAAAGGAAGAAGCACCAGGTTAATAATGTCGTGCTCAGCGGGCACAATAATAGCCTGGCAGGAACGCGACCGGATGAGAAAGGAGGAGGAGATGAGGAATGGAGGGTGGTGTGCTGTGTGGGACTGGAGACTTGCGAACTTGGGAACTTGGGGCGACTGGAAACTGGCTCGACTTGGGGCAGGAAACGGCGAGGTACCGAGATAGTGTGGCAGAACGGGGCACAGTACCTTGGTACATGCACGAAGTACTTCGAGATTAGCGATTGATATCAGGACTGAGGTACGAAGTACAACACTGAGCTTTCTCGGGCTGGGGATGAGAATGGATGGTATACCGTT